GGGTATAAATATAAGTGTAATGAGGCCTTTGGCCGTAACCTAATAAGAGAAGTAGCATATAGTTGTGGATGTAAGTCTCACACATCGTGAGGTCGAACCACGTTAAAATCGTGTTCACTCGTTTCCGCGTTTACGATTTATCATGGTATCAGAGCTTTGATCCATCTAGTCCTCCGTTGTTCGATCGTGGTCGTTAGCCATGGACGAAGAAGCTTCCCCTACGAAGACAGAGTCTGGTCCCGGGGTGTCAAGCACGTCCGTCGTCGTCAGTCCTACCGATCTCACTTATCATCTTGCTCCGTCCGATAGTACAGGTCACTTGCACGTCAGTAGCCTCCTCACTTCATCGAATTATGGGGAGTGGGTTCTTGAGATGACTGATGCTCTTGTCTCAAAGAACAAACTTGGTTTCGTTGATGGTTCAGTTCCGAAACCCACTGTTGTAGCCGATCGAGCCGCCTGGATTCGCTGTGACGCGATGGTCAAGGGTTGGCTCCGTACGGCCATGAATCCTGAAGTTCGTAGCAGTGTTATGTATGCCAAGTCAGCGGCAGAGATATGGTCAGATCTGAAGGCTCGTTTTGGTAAAGGAAGTCTCACTCGGGTATACGAGCTCCGACGTCTAATTGCGCTTCTTCAGCAAGAGAAGCATTCGGTCTCCCACTTTTACTCCAAGCTTCGAGGAATTTGGGAAGAAACACAAGCAATCCTGACTCCACCTTGTTGCACGTGTGGGCTGTGTCAGTGCAACTTGGAGCGCCGAATGCGCGATCAGACCGAAAGCTTGCGTCTATTGGATTTCCTCCTGGGCTTGGATGAGTCTTTCGCCACGGTTCGAAGTCAGGTCCTCTCCATGAAACCTACTCCATCATTGGCTGAAGCTTTCAACGCTGTATCCGCAGATGAGCAGCAGTGTCTCCTTTCACAGTCCCACAAAACCCTGATCGAGAGCGCATCTTTCAACTCTCGACGTGATGATGACCTGCGTGACGTCAAGGCAGGATCGGATGGGGATTCGCGGCCTCGTCCACGCTGCACTCATTGCGGCAAACAAGGTCATCTCAAAGAGACCTGTTATGATCTCATTGGCTAGCCTCCAAAGGGGATCAAGTCAGCTCATCGTCGTCGCAATTCAGATGGTGGCCCCAAAGCTTCGCAGGTTGATGCTGATACAAGTCCCGTAGCTGGTTTTAGTGTCCAACAGCTAGAGCAGCTACGCCAATTTTTTGGCATGGCGCCGAAAGGGGCGTCTGACCCCGCGGTGAATATGGCTGGTACGTTTTCACACTCCTCTGAATGGTTATTAGACTCAGGTTGTAATGAGCATATAGCCATGGATGATTCGTTGTTAATTGATACCGTCACCGAGCATGATAGTCAGCCTGTTCGGATTCCCAATGGTGATAGTGTGCCTGTAGCAAAAGTTGGATCCGTTGCTTTGCCCGCTGGTCTTCGTCTGGATCGCGTCCTACATGTTCCAGATTTTCGTTGTAACCTCATGTCAGTCAGTCGGTTAACAGCGGACAATAATGTTTCCTTGATATTTCTCCAGGATTTTTGTGTTATCCATGAACTTCCGCTCCAGGAGCGTGATTGGGAAGGGGAACCTTCGTGATGGATTGTACTATCTTCAGCTTTTTGGCAGCCGGGAGAGTGTGGTGTTTGCAGCCGCTGGTGCTAGCAAAGTTGACGCGTCTACCTGGCATGCACGTCTTGGGCATCCGTCTGCTGAAAAGATGTCCCAACTTCAGTCTCATATTTCCTTTGTTCCTCAGTCTATTAAGGACCCTTGTCATCCTTGTTTACGGGCTAAGCTTACTCGAGGCCCTTTCCCTTCCAGTTCGATAAAGACTACAGATTGTTTTGAGTTGTTGCACATGGATATTTGGGGTGGTTATCATGTTGAATCCCTCAGTGGGGCACATTATTTCTTGAAGATTGTTGATGATTTTAGTCGCGGTGTTTGGGTCTACCTTTTGCGATTTAAATCGGAAGTTGGTCGTTATTTGATGATGTTTTGTCGCATGGCTCGTACACAGTTTGGTAAGACAGTTAAGCGCATCCAAGCCGATAATGGGTTTGAGTTTCAAACATCTGCTCTCCGCACATTCTATGAGGAACACGGGATCCTTCTCCAGACCTCGTGCACTGACACCCCTCGACAGAATGGCGTCGTCGAGCGCAAACACAGTCATCTCCTTGAGACAGCGCGAGCTTTGCGTTTTCAGGCCGGTCTCCCTCTTCGTTTTTGGGGGGAATGTATTCTCACGGCCACTTACCTACTGAATCGCTTGCCTACTAAGGCCACACTGGTAAGTCCCCTTTCGAAGTACTCTTCAGTAAACCGACGCCCTACTCGCATCTTTGAGTATCTGGTTGTCTCGTCTACGCCAAGGATAATCACAGTGGTCTTCACAAGTTCGCCGAACGGGGGCGTGCGTGCGTGTTCTTGGGGTATGCTGCTCATCAAAAGGGTTATCGTGTCTACGATCTTGTCACTCATAAGCTCACAACCTCGCATGATGTTGTGTTCCACGAGGATGTTTTTCCCATGCAGATTCAAGATCGAGCCCAGATGACGTGGTTACCTCCCTTGTCACGCCCAGACGAACTTGGGTTGGAAGAAAATTTGGACTTACCTCTTACGTCCACAGGAGCGTCCTCTTCGTCCCCCCTGCCCCTTGGCGACCAGTCTCCAGGCTCTGCCTCCCCTGGACCTCGTCCTCGTCCCGCGCCAGCTGATGCGGCGCCGTCATTAGCTCCACAATCGGAGCCCCCAGTCATCGTTCCTCGTCGCAGTGACCGTGTGCGTCGTCCTCCCCAGCACTTGGCGCAGGATTACGTTGGGCTGCCCTCCTCACATGCCCACACAGTTCAGTATCCTTTGTCTAATTTTGTTTCTTATTCTCGTCTTACGGCTCGCTATGGTGCATTTTGTGCAGCTGTTAGCACGTTTGTCGAGTCGCGCTCCTTCCACCAAGCTATCCGCTATGAGTGGTGGCGCGCTGCCATGCGAAATGAAATAGCAGCCCTCGAGAAGAATGGAACGTGGGGTTTGGTCTATCTCCCACCGGGTAAGCACGCCATCGATGCGAAGTGGGTGTATAAGATCAAATTTTATCCGGATGGAAGCATTGAGCGGTTTAAGGCTCGTCTCGTCGTTAAGGGGTTCACTCAGGTCGAGGGCGTGGATTTCCATGACACCTTCGCCCCCGTTGCCAAACTTGTCACTGTTCGATGCCTTATCGCCGTTGCTGTTCAACGTTTCTGGTTTCTACACCAGCTCGACGTCAATAATGCTTTCTTGCATGGGGATCTTGACGAAGAGGTTTATATGAAGCTCCCGCCGGGTTTTGGGGCCCCTGGTGACACTCGTGTGTGCCGTCTGCACAAATCTTTGTATGGTCTTCGTCAGGCTTCTCGTAATTGGTACCAGAAATTCACCTCCGCACTAGTCGAGCTTGGATTTCGCACATCTCCCGCCAACCACTCACTGTTCATTTATCGGCATGGTTCCAGTTTTGTTGCATCCCTCATCTATGTCGATGATGTCCTGCTCACAGGTAATGATCCCGCCTTCATAAGTCGTGTCAAGGCATTCCTTGATCACCGGTTCAGTATCAAGGACTTGGGTTCTCTCCGTTATTTCTTGGGTCTTGAAGTAGCTCGTTCACCAGAGGGTATTGTTTTAAGCCAGCGCAAGTATGCTCTTGACATTCTTGACGATGCTGGAGTCTCTGCTACTCGTCCATGTTCCTTCTCGGTCGAACAAAATCACAGACTCACACAGCCAGCTTCAGATCTCCTAGCAGATGGTTCGTCGTTCCGTCGGCTTGTGGGCCGTCTCTTGTACCTTACTGTCACCCGTCCCGACATCGCCTACGGAGTTAATGTCCTCAGTCAGTTCGTGCATGCACCCACACAGTCTCATTGGGATGCGGCTATGCGCATACTTCGGTACATCAAGTCTTCCCCAGGTCAAGGCTTGTTTTTCCCGTCCAGTGGGTCTTTACAGCTTACTGCTTACTGTGATGCTGACTGGGGAGGCTGTCAGAGCACTTGTCGGTCTACTACCGGGTTTTTCATCAGTCTTGGGGGGCTGCCATCTCCTGGCGTACCAAGAAGCAGCGTGTTGTTGCCCGCTCGTCTGCAGAAGCTAAGTATCGTGCTATGGCAAGCACTGTGAGTGAGCTTATCTGGTTGCATGGCTTCTCATTGAGCTTGGTGTCCCGCAGACAGCTCCTACTGTCCTGTTCTGCGATAACCAGGCTGCACTTCACATTGCTGCCAATCCCGTCTTTCATGAGCGGACCAAACACGTGGAAATGGATTGTTACTTCGTTCGCGAGCGTGTCTTGTCTCGTGAAGTTTCTCCCCACAAGATTCACACCCAGTTCCAGCTCGCCGATCTGTTTACTAAAGGGTTGGGAGCGGATCGTTTTCGTTTCCTCCTGTCCAAGCTGAATGTTCGTGACCTCCACACTTCAGCTTGCGGGGGCGTATTGGGCCAGACAGAGCCCGTCCATTCCAGCGAGAGTCAAAAGCAGGCCGTGTCTTGCATGGGCATGCATAGTTGCATTCCTAATACTACTTGTAATAGGAGTCCTCTCGGCTGTAGCACAAATACCCTAGGTTCAGAGTTGCAGGGTATAAATATAAGTGTAATGAGGCCTTTGGCCGTAACCTAATAAGAGAAGTAGCATATAGTTGTGGATGTAAGTCTCACACACCATGAAGCCGAATCACGTTAAAATCGTGTTCACTCGTTTCCGCGTTTACGATACGACAAACTGCCGGAAAGAATCTATAGATAATAGTAATCCAAGCAACAAAACAGCCACAATCAAGAACTAAACATGGAAGGTCAAAAGAAATTAACAGAGCCGTACGTACCCCAAGAGCCCTATCTCAATCCCCCCACCTTTTATGACATACACAAAATCATCAATTTTATCAACGAACTATCTCATTATAAAAACATCATCCATTTTATAATCACTATCATCAAAATATGATTACTATGATCCACAAAGTGTTGCTAGCGGCGGTCCTTTTGGCCGCCGGTTATTATGATACTGCGGAAGGATGGGACACGGTGACGATACATGTCACCAACAAGCTGAGCACAAGACGGATACTGATCGTACACTGCAAATCTGACGACGACGATCTCGGCGGCAGCGCCATCGACGCCGGTGCTAATATCACTTTGGTTTTCGGCCAGAACGTGTTCGGCGGGACGCTGTTCTGGTGCAGCGCGGCGTACGAAGATAAGCGCCTTTCTTTCAAGGCGTACGAGCAGAACGATCACAATACGTTCGTCAAAGTGTTTGATGTCTCCGACGACGGAGTCGGCGGGATCGATGTTTATAGTGGCAATCTACTTCATATTTCTAGGTGGAGAATTATTTCTCATTTGAATTTTTAGTATTATAGTTCTGAAATGTCAGCCTCAGTTGCTCAATCTATTACGTCCATGTGGATAGTATTTAGTTTGGTTAGCTGCTAATTAGATAGCTTTTTTCCCGGGAATAATGTTGTAACTAGGATTCGAACCTTGGCTGCAGGGAAGCCGAAGGTTTGGCACCAGAAAGAAAGTGCAAAATTCAAATGTTTGGATTATGGTTGAAATTGTGTCGTCTCTTGTTTGTATCTTGTGACTTGTGTCAATTGAGTCCGGGCGAGTGTCTGTTTGGAAAATATGAGTTTAAATCTATAGATTGTCAACAATTTAAAGATTCTAACTTTTCAGATTGTTGAAAATAGACTTTAGAATGTTTACTGTTTGGTAACTGTGATTGTTAACATTCAATGAAAATAAAAATAAAAAAATTTATATTAAATAATGTGTTTATCCTTAATAAAAAAAAATTAGAGTGGCTCGAGAAATATTAAAAAATTTATTGATAAATATATTTAATATGATAAATAAATAAAAGAAAGGGAAAAAGTAGGAGAAAAAAATGTTACGAATCAATATATATAGAATCTCTCTGATTATGAGACATTTGTTATCTTTTAAATTTTATATATTTGAAATCTTTGAAGCTAAAAATCCACAATACAAAGAGCAACAAAAAAATATAACTTTCTACAAAATCTACGGGTTCAATGAATCCAAGCCGCAAATTCGTTCTCCAAACAACCCCTAAGATCGAGTGAGCCATTTTGTGGAGTCACGGGGGTTTGTGTGACTCTAGAGTTTAATTCGTTGTTCTTGAGTCATCCACTTAGGGTTGGATTTTCTACCAAAGACTGGCCATTTAATCTGCCCTCAATTTTGAGCTTTCAAATAAATCATCGAAACGAGAACGACATATTTTGCTAACACGAACAAAAATGTCGAAGTTATTACGTTCAAGAGATTTGAGTCATGATAATGAAAGAGTGGGGACCAAAGTCTTATGATCAGCTACTATATTTCTTAAATTTGTTACAAATTTGACACATAGTTTCCAGCTATATTTGGAAGTTGAGGGCGTCGCTTGGTCTCAATGTGACTCCTTCCACTAATCATCCATGTCTTATCATGGGTTTAATAACCTTATCATGCGTGGAAGTTGGAACCGATTCCAAATTCAATACAAGAGTAACATTTCTTGCAAAGAAAGTGAACAAGTGGTGGCTAAAGGTATTGGTGACCATTGGAAGGAGTCTTTGCCTCGCTGTAATTCACGGCTACCATTTTGTACCCAATAATCGGCAAAGGTCCATCTCAACCTGCGACTGCCAATTATGGTTGCCACTGCTTGTTTCTTGCAACCAATAGGAAGAGTCTTCGTTTTTGCACCCATAGTTGGTTTCATTACACCCTTGTAGAGTAAAGAAGAAGAAAAACTGTGTTTGTAAAACCATACCGTATCAACGGCCCGAACGAATAAATCTTCTATCGAAGCCTTAACCAATGGGTTGTTTTTAACGGTGTGAAACTGTTGAACCACGATTTCAACATCCCATCCTTGAAAAATGCCTCATAAACAGACTTCTGAAACTGTCAGCAACAATAGCAACCATTTTCCTCTTAAGGGCTGTCGATATCAACAGCCCAAGGTAAAACAATCAAGCTCTCAGTTAAAGGGGAACGGTACTTCAACTGTAAGGCATCAAAACTTACACAACAGATATTACAGATGTTTGGTCAAGAATCGAAAAGCAGGGGGGGGAATGTAAAGGATTCAAATAATTACATCAAAGCACTTCAAACAAACGACACATCAGTATGGCTCCTTCTCAGTTTAGTGTATTCCACCGCTCTTACTTTGTGGCCTGAGCAATTATGTTGCTCAAGGAGCTTGCCTCCTCTTTTGCAACCTCTACCAGATTGTCCTGCAGCATGACAAAAAAATCATCGTTCTCAGGCAATACCGACGAGAAACACTACTGCTTTCTAGACACGTGGAGATTATATGATACAAACCTGTGCGGATATTAGCTTGGCAATTGTTCTTTTGCTCGATTCCTGGAGTTCGCCGGCAATTAGAAGCTCGTCCAATATGTAATAGGCCTGCGGTATCACGACATAAAGAATGTATATCAGCCTCTCGAAGTTGTCCAAACAGGCCTCTAAAATTTTGGCTGCAAAGCAAGCAAGCATACCTTGTGAAAGTTGAAGATCAAATCCAGCTCACAGACCTGCAGAACATGAGCAACAAATGAACAAACAATTAACACAGCTTTCAGCACATAATGAACGGTCATGAGGAGTAACAGCACTTACAAAGTTCACTTACACTGCCAAAGTATCTGTCCAATATCTCAACGAAATGGTGAATCACTTCAAGGGCCTCTAACTCGTTGTCCTCCTCATCGATGCATATGCAGAAATAGAGGCTAGCATACCTGCAACACAGCAAAGTTTATGAGCTTGAAAGTGGTAAACACACCCTGAAACAGAGTCTTAAGGCGGAGATTTTTATTCATGGAGTTTTGAACCACCTTTTGTAAACCACTTTATGTCCTTTCCAGTCGACAAAATTGCAGAGCTTGGGCCCTCGACTTAGAATCACTCCACTAAGCTCACGGATGGCCTTTCCGGATAACAACGATATCAACAAAAGAAAAAATTTAGGAAAGTGCATGAGAAAACAAATACAATTACAGTGTTTACATAGTCTTCAAAGCTACCTTGGATCTTTCTTTCTGTGAATAAGTTGAATACCATTTTGTCAACCGCACCTTGCCTTGCCGACTAATAAGACACACAAAGTTAATCTGGGATGAAACAGAAAGAATCACACTGTTAAGTTCCTTGCACACCGTATAATGCATGGAAAGAATGCTCCAGCCCACTGTTCTACAAAACATGACCATTTCACAACAGATCACGAATATGCTCCAACCACACTAAGGCTAAGTTCGATTTGTCAACATTCTACCATCACTCATCCAGGTGTACAGAGGAAGGAAGCAGACGAAACTTTGTCCAAGCTTACAAACATACCAAACGAAAGCAAACAAAAATCAGATCGAGCACGAAAACCAAACAAAAACAGAATGAAAGTTTCAAAATCAACTCAACTCGTTTCCCGATCCTTCAAATTTTTCCTAGCTACCAAACAAAGCAAAGCAAATCGGGAAATGAGAACCAACACTATCGAACTCCAGTAAATTCAATCTAACTCCGGGACTCCACAGCAGCATTCCCGGTTCGAATCAAATACAGCAGGTCAAGTTAAGCAGATCCAAGCAAAGCAAAATGCGAAGAACAGAAGCTCGAAATCATCGACCAAAAGGGAAACAAAAAGGTGCGTTCGCGTGCCCAGACTGAGTGTTAACAAAATCAAGGAGTTCGATGAGGCGGCGGATTTTTACCATGATTCACGACGGAGCTGACTGTAAGCACCGGCGATTGCGCGACGGGAGTCCAACGAGAGAGAATGGTAACGAGCGGAGATCTCGCTTCTGTGCGGAGGAGAAGGAAAATGCGTTAGAAAGTAAAAACTAAAAAGCCACCTGTTTCTTCGAGCGAGCTGGGCCGGGGTATCAGGTCTGGTCAGGCTTGGGCCCGAATCACTCGGGTTAAGGTTTTGTTAAGCCCAAGCAGAATAGCTCAATATGGCACAGGCATACGGGCCCTCCCAAGCTTTCTTGTCTCTCTCTATGAAGGAAGGAATTTCTAATCATTCTTCAAAGTAGGGGTGGGCGTTCGGTTGGTTCGGTTTGAACCGAACCGAACCAGAACATCCCGAATTTTCGAGATATCCAAGACCCCAACCGAATTTGAACCGAGTTGTAATTTGGTTCGGTTTGGTCGAACCGAACCGAATTACAGCTCGGTTTGGTTCGGTATGAATGATCAGAACCGAATACATTGCTGCCCACCGTTTTTGCCTTCTGTCCACCGTTTTTGCCGGCTGCCTTATGGAAATAGGGTTGGCTGTTGTGCTGAAAATGCTTATCAACTAGACAACTACCCCATCTCTCTCTCTCTCTTACTCTCATTTTCCTATTCCCCTCTCTCTCTCACCCACCCCATCCGCTTTTCCCCTCATCTCTGGCCACAATTATCTACCACCGCCATCGCCCAACTCCCTCCGCCGCTGAGCTCACTATCAACTACCCCCGTCGCGACCGTTCCACTCGCCGGGTCTCCCTCTCCAATCGCGACCGCTCCAATCCTCACCCCTCAATGCTTGCATGTGGGTTGTGGTTGTCGGCCTTCAAATCAGTCGACGCAGAGCTCGATGTAGCGGTAGTAGGGAGGCGGGATGCTCACGTCGGCGATGGTCCCACCTCTGTTCAGGCTGGCGCTGGATCTGATGTCGGTAAAGCTCCGAGCGACGATAGATGGCCGGAGTGATAGTTGCAGCCGCCTGGAAGCAGTGAGAGAGAGTGGGTGGTCGGAGGCTGGCTGGCGGCGAGGAAGCAATCGGAAGTGGATGGCCAATGGTGTTGACTGGTGAGGATCAGAGCTGGGTGGGCTGTTGGCGGCGATTCTCCTCCTACTTCTTTTTCTGGCTGCTGGGATAGGGTATTAGGGTAGCTGGGATAGGGTATATGGGTTGTGGGGGAACTGGGAAGTGGGCTTGGGGAGACGACTGGGCCGCTTAGGGGATGGGCCAGGCTGTGGGAACTGGGCTGGGCATATATTTCGGGTTCTCGGTTCGGGTTTCGGAATTTCGAGTTCGGTATGACCACCCTGGTTTCCGAAATACCCACATTCTGGTTTCGAATTCCGATCCGAATAGTAATAGTTCGGTTTCGGTTTGGTTCGGGTTTACCGAACCAGATGCCTACCCCTACTTCAAAGCGAGTATAATCCAAGCTTATCTTTCTGTTATATGTTTGATACAAATGGAAATCGTTTGGTACCAAATGAATCGGGAATTCATTTCATTTTAATATGAATTATCGCGTAGAATTCATTATCAAATAAATTCCGATGTTTGGTATCTCATATTCGAATCTTTAGAAATAAATGCCAAAACCATGTTGGCACACGTTTAGAATTGAATTAAATAAAAAGTTTCCAACTACATCCTTATTAATTTTCGGCAAAAACAATATTCATTGAAAATCTATCTTCTAAAAAACGCTTTTGGTCCCATATGTTGAATATCAAAAGTGTTATTATGTTTTTCTATTCTATTCATTAGTTATTTCCTAATATTTCATCGATGAACCCTATACTCTAGTTGTGCCTTCTCAACATATTGATACAATCGAAGTATAAATATCAAATAACCAGCATATGCAACTAGCATTGCAATCAAATTCTTGCTAACGTTTCTCATACGGCATGAATTGGTGCTACATAATATGTGTAGAAGTAATTTGGTTAATAAATGAAGATAATTATCTCATTCTATTATAATTAGTAAATACTTGTAGAATTCATTTGAAAATTTCATCTCAATTCCTCGAAATTGCTATAACTAGTTCCAATTGCGTAGAATTCAAAATTTATAATTGAAAATGAATTCTTTTAAATACCAAACACAAAAATCTTTCATTTTCAACTGAATTCATCAAAACTTATGGAATTTATTTATACCAAGCAGTGTGTTAAAATCACATTATTGCACGTGTTTTATGTGTTTTAAACTATCGTTCTTTCGTATTATGATTGAAATATCACTATATACATAAAATGCTTTTAAAAATATATGTAAAACGTTTGATGCACGTATTTAGGTGTTTCTTAGCAATCATGCCAACTGATTTCTAGAACAAATGCATGCGTAACTTGCTTTTTTATATTTTTTTATGGAATCGTATTATTCGAACGATATGTGTATTCTAACAATTCTTGCGTACATAGAAAAATTTTAATAATTCAATACCGTTGTTGCAAACCAAATACTAAATTGAGGCATTATGTGAACTCCTCTAATCACATGCCTAATACATGATTAAATTAATGTATTTTCTACAATACATACTTGTCCAATTGTTATTGATCAACTTTAATTGAAATTTAATAGTCAATAACAACTTTTTCTACAACTGTTGTCGGTAAGTTGGAGTCCATAAGTTTCTTTTCAGCAAATTGATTTTTGGTATTGTGCACAGATGCAAACTGAGCGGTTTTTGAGGATTTATGTTGTTGCTCGTTGCTCCCAAAAAAAGACGTAATGTTACTATATTTCTCATTATCGCTACTCATTATGAAAGAAAATAATGTGACCTGAATATTATCACTTACCAGAGCTCTTATACCGCGAACAACTCGATAGTGCACAAAAACAAAAGAACACGAGGAACAAACGTGGTTCGACCTTGTGGTGTCCTATTGTTTGTGTAGTTGATTTTATATCATAGACTTATAGCTTTTTCACTCAGATTTCTTCTTCATGATGCTTAGTTCCAAATATTGCTTTATTCATCTTCCGATCAAGACCATCATCTCACAATCTCAAAACACACAAACAAGGAATCGTACACTTTCATTTCCCCAACACAACGACCAAACACTCCCCCTTCAATCATCAGCAACCTTAACAACTTGCTTCCCGACATTTCGCCCATAGAACAGCCCAACCAGAGCAGCAGGAGCACTGTCCAACCCTTCAGCCGTGTCTTCCACGTAAACAATCTCCCCTTCCTTGATCTTGGGCACGACCATCTCCAGGTACTTGGGGTACAGATGGTAGTGGTCACTGACTATGAACCCTTCCATTCGAATTCGATTCATGATCAAGCTTGCCAAGTTGTGAACCCCTTCAGGGCTCTCCAGGTTGTACTGAGAGATCATCCCACAGACAGCAATCCGGCCCCGGAGCCTCATGTTCCCTAGCACGGCGTCCAGCATCTTCCCGCCCACGTTCTCGAAGTAGATGTCAATGCCTTGAGGGAAGTACCTGCAGATTACAACAAGCAGTGCCAATATTCAAGGTTGGAAATTGGTTGGTAGACAAAAGCTGGAGAATTGTATTTGTAGTACTTAAAAAGACTGACCTTTTCAGTGCAGCAGCCAAGTCCTGCTCCTCCTTGTAGTTGAAAGCTTCGTCGAATCCGAACTTGTTCTTCAACAGATCAACCTTTTGCCCCACATTTGTAAAGAAATCAACTTTTCATCAGTTCATGAGCATGGCTTGGTGTGGAAGCCAAGAAAACAGAACACAATCAAGCAGTCTATATGATGCGAAGGGATATATGTAATGGGATGTTTTCACATTCGATCTACACCCTATGTTCGAATCTCGGGGCTAACAGTACCGAAAAAATCGAAAAAGAACTCACCTTTTCTTGACTTCCTGCACTTCCAACAACGTAGCAGCCAGCCAGCTTTGCAAACTGCCCAACAAGCTGACCAACTGCGCCTGAAGCTGCTGAAACATACACATACTCTCCCTTCTTAGGGGAGCAGAGCTCGTACAGTCCAACATAGGCAGTCATTCCAGGCATACCTGAAAGAAGTGTCACCAAATTCACAGACACATTCAAGTTGCAGGCAGCAGTGGTCATATTGATTCGACATGACGAGAGATCTTTCGTCGAAACTAAACTACAACCATCATCGTGACCACCAACTCAACCATAGAGAAAGATGATTCGAGATACGCAATCAGACCGACATCCCCTCATAAGTGCTATTCTCCACAATGACAACTATAGCCAGATCAAGGATCATACTTATTTTGAACATTCAGAGAACATAGCTAAGCTACCAGCCTACCACAGTTGGTCCATCCACTGTACTAGAATTAGAATCAACTAGGTGATCATAATAAAACAGACTGCAATGTGACAAAAAGGGGAAATTCAATTCAACATACCAAGAATCCCAGTGTAATAGGAGAGTGGGACATCTTTGTGCTGAATCTTGAAGAGTTGACCAGGTTCTGTACTCACAGTGTACTCTTCCCACCCTGTTGACCCCCACACCAGATCACCCTTCTCAAAATTAGGATGCCCTGATTCCAAAACCTTCGCCACTCCATATCCACTCAATGGCTACCACACCCAAAACAAAACAAAAAATTAAAACTTGCCCATCAGCCAACCACAGTAATGGAACAGTATAAAACCCTAAGGACAGAGTGAGAGAGAGAGAAGGGGACTGACTGATCCTGGCTGAAAGGCACCGACGTAGGAGCCAGAGGAATTTCTCATACGAGGGCGCATGTAAGGGTCGCAGGAGAGGTAGAGATTCTTCAGCAGAAGGCCGCCGGCGGCGGATTCGGGGAGTTTGAGGTTGATTTCCCCGACGACGATTGACATGTCGGATTCCTTCGGGAAGCCTGAAACGTAGTTGTTGAAAATCACTTGCTTGTTGCTCACTGTCACAGCAACCTGGCCTTCTTCTGCCGCCATTCTTTCCTTGATTTTGATTTCCTTTTTTTTCTTTCTGATTCTTCAGTATGGAGCGATTGATGATCAAACAGATTCTGCAGTTGACTATATATACTACTGTGCAGAGCTCTGCCCGCGGAGAAGGCGATGCTTTTGAAAGAAAAGAAACAAAGGAAGAGAACCCACGAAGGAAAAGACTGATTAAGACCGGGAAAACGACCCGATTCGCGGGGACTGGTAAGAGAAAGACACTTCCTTTTTTATTTGTTTATGCAGAAAGGCAGTTCCTTTGGCACTGTCAGTATAATTTTGTTTTTCCACCCAAAAAAAAAAAAGAGCTAAATGTTCATTAAGGTGCTTTATTGGCCGGCGAGGTGCAACAAGATGACAGATTAGAATTAGATTACGAATGCTGTACATACATGCGAAACTTGGAGGAAGAATCCGGTCACTGCTTACAAAGAAACCAAACGGCAAAGAGAACTCTGACTACTCTCCCCACCCGCTGAAACCAAGGGGGAAGCCTTGTTCGTCGTAACTCTAATTTTTCTTGTTCGGTTTCTAACATCGTTTACAACCAGAACAAGTCAGGTATATGGTATTCTCTATGATAACGATACTGTAGTAAGATTTGAACAAGTGATCGATCTTTTTTATCCAAATCCGGTAACTTCTTCGTCAATCTTACCAAGTTCCCCTGCCATTGGATTTTTAGGACTCGAGTTTGGTGACGGACTACTGAGCCGAGCTTCCATGGAGTGTAAGGAGGAGGATTCTTCATGGTTTCAAGTTGGTTCGAGAAATGTGTAGCATGAGTTAGACAAGGGTTTTTCCTTGAGACTGTGGCACTGTTATGGTTTGCTGCACTTTCAGCTGCCACCTTGTTGCTAATATCTCAAAGTATTCATTCATTTGCAGAGAAACCATATTCTGACATGAAATTGCATTTCAATCAACATTCATCTATTCAAAGTATAAAAGAACAGTGGTCGTTTTTTAGTTGATATAGCCTTATTAGTATGAAACGCCTGATTATTCCATTTCTGAGACAGAATGCTGCTGACAGGGTTGTGCTGAGATGATCATGGTAACATATTTCAATCTCTGGTTCTTGTTCGAATAAGAACCCTTCACAATTTGCTTGTATGAGAGGAACCTCCTGAAGAAGCACAACGAGGGGAAAAAGAAAGTGACAAGGCTTGCTAAAAAACCCCTGATAGAATTGTCGTTCGAACCGAAATCACAGTCAAATGTACAGTCTTTCAAAAGGGGGGTAGTAGACTGAATCACAGGTCTGAACAGTTCATATGATATCACACACATCCGTTTATTTATAATCTCTTAGCTATGGCCTTGTTGATACAAGAAGATGATACATTAAGAAACTACACAAACTCTGGTAATTGAGGATGATCAGAAGCTGCAGCAAATTTTCACCTAGGGAATCTTCACACTATTTATCCACCAGTTTTTTTCTGTTTTTCTCGCTTCGATCGGAATGATAATGGCGGTGATGATGACTAAGGGGAGATGCTAAAGTTACTAACCCATGGTGTAAGATGGGGATGGCAAGTTGATGACTGTGGTCTTCACTTTGATCATCATGTTGATACTGTTGGTGATCCCCTGTGAACCAATCCCACTGTCTTTCAAACCCTGTTGTAACCAATCGAAATGAGCCATTAATCGACAGCAACACGAATAATTGAAATGAACAGGTTCTTGACAGACAGAATTTCCTGAACCCAACCTGGAAGGGGAAATGGTCTGGGCCACGAGCTGGCGCGGAGTTGATCTGAACCGTTCCAGTCTCCATCGCGTCACTGATCAACATTGCCTTGTTGATGTCCTTTGTGAACACACATCCCTGTTGGTGTTTTTCAATGTGGTTAGTGATTCAGAACTGATGCAGCAGTATTGATGAAGGTGTGAAATGGATTGCAGGGAATCAGGATGAGGGTCAATCGGATTACGAGTTGAACTTGTTGGTCAGGTTGATCAGGTAAGGCCAAATTTTACACCACTATACATTGACTAGTGAACAAGGTTTCAGAAATTTTCAAAAAGGTTGATCATCACGGGGTCTGGTTAAGTTTACCTGAAGGCCAAAGTTGCTGGCATTGCAATGGTGGATACCTTCCTCGACCGAATTGATCCTGATCACCGGAAGCACAGGACCGAACGGCTCCTCCCAAGCGATCCTCATATCGGGTCTCACATTGTCCAACAACAACGGCCATATGAGGTTTCCCTCCCTTTTGTACTCCTGACAGAATGTAGCACCTTTCTCCTTGGCATCCATCACCAGCCCTTCAATGAAATTGGCCGACGATTCGGTCACCACAGGGGTAATGTCACAGTCGTCCTCCGGTGGACCGATTCTCAGCTTCGCCACCCTGGCTTTGACCTTCTCGACCAGGGAATCGGCTACAGATTCCATGGCCAGGACCACCTTGATCGCGGTGCACCTCTGGCCACTGTATGAAAATCCTCCCTTGATTATGTTGGCAGCTACCAGGTCGAGATCAGCATCTTCGAGCACAATGCAGGCGTCTTTGCCTCCCAACTCCATCTGTAGCGGGATCATTCCTGCCTTTTTCGAGATCGCTATGCCGGTGTCGCCTCCAGTGAAGCTGAGACAATGAATGTCGTAGCAGATCAGAGAAATGATTATCATTAAGATCATTAGATCACAAATTGGTTGTTCAATGGCTTACCTTATGCAGTTGACGCCAGGGTGCATGGTGAGGAAGTCGCCGATTTCGGAGCCCTTGCCAGTGACACAGTTGATTAGGCCTTTAGGGAAACCAGCCAAGTGGAAGCAGTGAACCATGTGGAGGCATGAGACAGCTCCCTGAAAGAATGGAACTTTGTGCTTGAGAGTCAAGAAATGGAAATGCAGGCAAAGTTCGAATGAAGTTCAGGTTATGATTTTGATCATAGGAAAGAACCTGAGTTGGAGGCTTGAGGACAAGCGAGTTGCCAGCGATCAAAGCCGGACCAATCTTGGAAACAGCGAGGTTCACCGGGTAGTTGAAAGGTGGGATTGCTAGAACTACCCCTAGAGGAATCTGCAGCATTTCACCCAAACCCAGTAAAGCTCACATTGCAAAAATTGCCAAGGGAAAGAACTAGCAATGTCAATAGCTCAATTAAGCACTCTTCATCAGATCAAATTCCAAACAGCCATGGTAAAAGAAACTAGCTATATCACTTGTTCCACAAGCAAGGTCAGATCTTTTTATCAGAATCATTTCGTCCTCATTTCTCCTAGTTGTTACGAGGTTGTCAGGATTGGAACAAAACAAAAGACCTCTCGAATATACAAAAGCCTATGATATCATATCCATAACTACTTCATTTCATCTCAAAATTGTCACATGCAAGAACCAAGAAATCAAACCTTGGAAGTGAGGCAGTACTTGGTCCTCTCATTCCCAGGAAAGCTATCAGACATCAAGAACTTCCCTTCTCCAAGAATCCTGACTCCCTCTTCAGCAGTGTAGGAAACCAGATCCCCTGACCTCACAACCTTCCCACCATCAAAAAAACCCCATTAACATCTCCATGCACCATCCAAGAAAAAGAATCAATCTTTAAATAACCCATTAATCAACATTTACCTCAGTAACAGCATCTTTAGCAGGCTTGGCAATTTCTTTGACAAGACACTCAGCAATGGGGAACTTGTGCTCTTTCAAGATGGCAGCAGCCTTGTGAAGAAGCTCAGCTCTCTTCCACAAAGGTGTCTTGGCCCATGCCTTCTGCGCGCTCTTCGCCGACTCCATCACCTTGTTCACTTCCTCCTGCGAACATGCTGCAAAAAAAAAAAAAAAACAAAACAAAACAAAATCCCATCAAGTTACGATTCCTGCAGAGACACACACAGCAAGCACAACGATCACCATGGAAAAAAGTTTTGTTCTTTTACCTTGAACTCTGTACTGAGTCTTCCTAGTGGTCGGGTTGATAATGGCGACACTCTTCCCTGAAGCTGCTTTCTTCCACTCCCCGTCGTGGTAGTACTTGTAAACCTCGTCCCCGTCCAGAATCTCTGCAAACACTCCAGTCCCAGCAGCCATGGCTGAAATCAGGGGGTTTTTTGCTCACTCTGGTAGAAAAAGATGGAACCTTTGGAGAGCTAAAACGAAACAGAGTTCAGTGATGAGGGTGGGAAGAGTATGTGTGGTTTGGGTTGAGTGAAGATTATATAATGAGGTAGAGAGGGAAGGTGAGCCATGGAAATTGTGAGATGAAATTACCACCAGAAAAAGAAAATTGGAAAGCAACAAAAGAAAAAGAGAATTGCCAAGTGACAGGTGTAAATTTGGGTTTGGTTTTCAATTTTTGAAATATTTTATCCTTATTTTTGGGCTTAATTTTTTGTGTGAGATGAACCAAAAAAATTTTGGGTAGAAAATCTATGGGTGGATCAAAAGTTTGAATGTTCATATTTGTACACCACATGTGTACAAGGTGGCCAAAAGACTGGACTAAGTTGATGTCATGGTTTTAGATGGTCTGGTTTGAATCTCGTAAATATGTGATAAGTCTGAAATTGAAGATGATCGATGATGTCGGTTTCTTGTTGTTGAATTAATTGGAGAGTTGATAAAGATAGTGTTATGTGTTGTTTTTTTTTTTTTTTTTCCTTTTCGTGTACCGATCATCATGATTGTAGTTTATAGGTTCTTATTGTTATGTCGTAAGAGCAAATATAGAGACCACAAAGTACAGACAACCAATTCTAAAGTTACTACTCTGATTAGAGTGGACAATGATATGTTAAACGACTGATCGCACTAAAAGTTGAATAGAATTGGAGAAAATCGGTCTGTCTTCGATAGCTTTTAATTCTCGAGTGCTTTTTTTAAAAATTATTCTATTTAGAAAAAATCAACTAATATGAAATCAAAATGAATGCACGTAGTTAAATCGTTCGCAAGTCACCGAAAGATCGCTCTACATTTTACGAGAGCAGGTTCTACGGTAAACGATTGAAGTTATTTACGATAATGCCATTACAAGTTAGTTAGCCTGCTGTTCCTTTCCCGCGAGCTACACGTGGAGGGAGTTTTGTGAACAGTGAGTTCTGTTTGGCGCCAAGTCGCCAACCTTTAATCAATTAATTGTTCCCTTTTTCTGTTTTTTCTTTTCTTTCCCTCTGCGAGATTCGAATTCCCGAGGCAAAACAAACTCCGTTACATTTTCTTTGTTAATCACAGGAACGGTTACATTTATGTTTCTTAATTCGTAATTAGTGGACTGCATCTGCAATCAATTTCGATAACATCAAAGAACACAGCTTCAAACTCCCTTGCCTGTATGGGCTGTGCACCAATAACCAATGAAGGTGGAATGGGCCAGCCCAATTCCAAACCCAATAAAACCTACCTCGTTGCATATAGTGTGTTAATGCCAAGCTAGTTACACATCAATTAACTAATTATACTAACAAAAAACTAATTATTAAAGTATCACCAACATCATAATCCAGGTGATTAATATGTTTGGTTCACCTAAAAATAGTCTCGGTCCGAATTTACTCTCTCGCTAAAGTTCTATAAAAAAAACACGCATCGCTTTCGTACTCAAATTCACACCAATAAACATTTACTGCTTCGGAAATCTGATGCCAAATCACACATAACCATTGTTCTGTGTGAAATTTACTGGTATCTCAAAATCCAATTAACATGTGAATTAACGCTAAAAGGCAACTACTAATGAGTTGGATTCGAAATTTCGTAATGTTTATACTTATCAGGGAAAAGAAACATGTTGATTCATACTACATTCAATCATCCATGACAATCATGTGCTGCAAAAAAAATTGACCTTTGCTATCCATAAAGAAGAAGAAGCTAGGCTTCTATTAGGTATGGTGCTGTTTGGACTTGAATGAGGCCATTACCCTATCTTCCCACATAAAATGATGTGCCCAAATTGTGATGTATGATCCCCACTCCCTTTGCTCAGTAACTTCCCACAACTGTACAATGTTCATCAAACCCTATCTGCCAAAGAAGTTGGGAGCTCAACTGAAATCTCCAAAAAAAAAAAATTAGGTGTGTTGTCATTGAAGGCCTGGAGTGAGAAAAGAAAAAACATGATGAAATTTGAATGTGGAGTGTGGAGTGGAAAGATGAGATGAGATTGGGTGGTCAAAATGGACCCCCAACAAAAGGTGATGACATGTTAGGAATGTGGCTGAGGTTTTAGATCAACTTGGTCCCAATAAGGCTACAAACCAATCATATCCATGCCCTTCTTGAAGTTTTATGAGTGAATGTGTAATTGGGTTATGGAAAATGGGCAATTAGCCAAATCAATCAATTGTAGGGCATGGAAGTGTAATAAGTGAACAACATATGTCTAAACAATACTGAGTGTTAATTAGTCATTGCTATGTGCAGAGGATGCAGACGGTATATATAACAAATTTATTGTTGAACATTATAACACTCGAACTACATTACTTAAGGTATGGATAATTTGGTTATAGATCATTCTAATTCAGCTAAAGTGTAATGTGAGAAGACGATTGTATATTTAACTAATAAATTCATAAATTTGTGTATTCAAAGTGTCTAAACTCTATGATTTATGTAAAAGGAAACCAATCCATCAATAGTAGTTGGGTTTTATGATGGAGGAGTAGGGAGTCGTTGAAAACATGGGATCCAAAATCAAGGCTAGTTAGGTGAAAATGGGTTTGTTGCCATGCCTTCAAATCACTTCATTTTTCTTGTCCCTTTTTTCAAATTTGGAATGGAGCTCCAAGAGAGAACTCAAGCATTCTTGGAGAACCACAAAATTTTCATATAAAGGGTTGTGGTAGGTGGCAAGTTCAAAACCATTCTCACCCTCACGCCTCAAATTGGACCACAAGCTTTCTTGTCCTCAAAATGGTTAGATGGATAGCTTATGGATGGGTTGGTGGATCCATTCAGTGTGTGTTGTTATTTGAACTATCACTCTTTCAATTTCTCTCTTCTTTTCATTTCAATGCTTTGCTTTCCCTCTTCTTCCATCTTTTTTCTTACTTTGTGGGTTTTGGTGCTATCTTTTCTTTCTTAAAGCTTCATTTTTTTTCAATCTACTTCTTCACCCTACCCCTCATGTGATTGGGACTACCGACCATTATCTATGTGAAGATATATAGTTAGTTCCCTTGACCACAAATTTTACAAAGGTAAGTTGGATGGGGAACTTTTAAGTACAATAACTTATTTATGATTTGTTGGGTAAACTATAATTGCTTTACAGATATATAAAACCAACCAAACGAGAAAAATAATAATCATGTATTCTCGATGTATGACTCAAATTTGATACGTAAGAATTGGATAACTGATGGAATGGATTGTAGCACGCGGAAAGATTGATAAATCAGGGAGAGAACTGGTTTAGAGAATTGCTGGAAGGAAACTGATTATGAAGGTGAACTTGGCGATCTCGGAGGGCCGTTCAGACTGATGATGAATCCATCGACCTGGGTTATCCCTGATCCTAATGTTCCTGGGGTCGAGCCTATTTTTGGGTCTGTCCTTGGCTATCTGCTTAGTCTCTGCATTAGTTTGGAAAATTCGGAACAGGGGCGGTTCGGTCCGCCTTCCTCCATTTTTAGGGAGAATGACACAAATATTGTGTTTTCTTTTAAATTTATCACCAATATGGCGGATTAAAAAGTATTGACAAGTATATTGTATTTTGGAGAAAAAGTTAGGCGACACCACCTAAGGCTGAGGTGTCACCGCCTGAGGCTCAAGTGAATAGGTGGGAAGAAAATCCCAGGTGTTGGCACCTGAGACTGAGGTGGTACCGCCTGAGACTGAGGTGGCACCACGAAGAACAATCCTAATTCTAACCCTGAAACCCTAAACCAGCGAACTTCGTATCAGTTATTCACACCACAAATGGCTAATAGGTAAGAGACATATTTATTTTTTTAATTATATTATTCAAATGCTATTATGATTGTGTTTAGTTTAATTAGTGAGTTTTTCTGCAGTGATTTTAGAAGATTTGAACTAGTCGTTCGGTGGAAATCGGAGAAAGTAGAGGATAATTTGGGCGTCAAATTCGTTGGTGGTGGTAGTTTTCAGTTGACGGTTTTTCAAATGTAATAGTTGTGGTTTGAAGTAGTTGTTGTTTTTCAAATAGTTGTTATGGTTTAAGAAGGTTGTTGTTTTTCAAATGTAGTAGTTGTTGTTCTTGGCCAAATTATAAAATGTCCGAGTTGTTGTCTGTTATTTGTTGTTCCGAATAGTTATCGCTAATAACATCATACATGAATGTAAAAATAGTTCAAGGAATAGTCCACAAACATAAATAGTCCACATAATAGTCCACATAACACATAAATAGTCTACATACATAACCCAAATAATAATAACATAACAAAAATACAAAACAAAAACTCTAACGATCACCACCACGACGACCACCATGCTGATCCACTAGATGGCCGTCGGTACCACACCTCACTGGAACCCTGATCCGTGTAGGCCTACCATCATCATGTTGGGGCTGATCATCCTCGACACGGATCAGCATGGTGGTCATCGTGGTGGTTGTCGTTAGAGTTTTTTTTTTGTATTTTTGTTATGTTATTATTATTTGGGATATGTATGTGGACTATTTATGTGTTATGTGGACTATTATGTGGACTATTTATGTTTGTGGACTATTCCTTGAACTATTTTTACATTCATGTATGATGTTATTAGCGATAACTATTCGGAACAACAAATAACAAACAACAACTCAGACATTTTATAATTTGGCCAAGAACAACAACTCTAACATTTGAAAAACAACAACCTTCTTAAACCATAACAGCTATTTGAAAAACAACAACTACTTCAAACCACAACTATTACATTTGAAAAACCGTCAACTGAAAACTACCACCACCAACGAATTTGACGCCCAAATTATCTTCTACTTTCTCCGATTTCCACCGAACGACTAGTTCAAATCTTCTAAAATCACTACAGAAAAACTCACTAATTAAACTAAACACAATCATAATAGCATTTGAATAATATAATTAAAAAAATAAATATGTCTCTTACCTATTAGCCATTTGTGGTGTGAATAACTTATACGAAATTCGCTGGTTTAGGGTTTAGGGTTTCAGGTTTAGAATTAGGATTGTTCTTCGCGGTGCCACCTCAGTCGTAGGTGGTACCACCTCAGTCTCAGGCGGTACCACCTCAGTCTCAGGTGCCAACACCTGGGACTTTCTTCCCACCTATTCACTTGAGTCTCAGGCGGTGACACCTAAGTCTCAGGTGGTCTCGCCTAACTTTTTCTCCAAAATACAATATACTTGTCAATACTTTTTAATCCGCCATATTGGTGGTAAATTTAAAAAAAAACACAATATTTGTGTGAACTCTGTTTTCTTCTCCGCTTCTGTTGAACTTTGTTGGGTTCAATTCTATTGACCCCTTCCCTTGTATAGGTTCTTGCCACTTTTTCGGTTTCCGTTTTCTAGTAATAAATTTCATCACCATTATATAAAAAAAATTGGATAACTGATATAGTTATTATAGTCTAAAAAGAGGGGTGGTTATCATAAATGGTCACAAAACTATTCCCTTTGTACAAAACAGTCACAAAACTTTAATTTTACACGTTTCGGTAACAAATGTTTGGACTAATAACAAAAAGATAATTCCGTCCATCTCCATCCAAAATTCTGTTAATTTGGTCCAGTCACCTGCCCATCACCATCCACGTCATCAAAATAATTAATAAAAAATAAAATACACCCAATTAAAAGTTATACAACTGATATCTTTCGTTTAGTCATGATATTGTCAAAATATTAATTTAACGTCAATAACGAATAAACGGCTTACCATATTATACATTTTTTTAACACAATAGAAAAAAGGAAAATAAACTTGAAATTTTTATTTTGGTTATGCCTGGACCTGATGTTGGTAGTCTGGAAAAGTTGGGGTAGAAACCCAAGCAAATCAAGTTGGACTTGTAACAAGGCTTCTGGGCTTGTATCCATAGGCCCACAGCCTTTGGACATGCTTTTGGCATTTTATTTTTATTTTTCTTATAATAGTTTTAGCTGCTCTGGCGAACGTATTTATTTCCCGTTCTTCGTCTTCCGCCATTGCCGATCATTCCTTCGCTTCCACAAGAATTCCGATTTCTCTCCTCAATACAGGATTCAATTTTGTCATCCCAAACCCTAGAAATTTCCCCCCAAATATGCATCCCCAATCGCGACAGGTTCTCCTCAGAACCCCGAATTCGCGCCGCCTCCAAACCCTAACCATCGATCCATCGCAGCCCCAAACCCTCCGCTCCCTGAAGCTCTCCCTGATCCCCGACCATGGAAATCCCGACGCTTTCTACTTCACCGCCAACGGGAAACTCCTCTCCGACGACTCGATCCCCATCGGCGGCCCCCAGGTCCCCGCTCTCTCCACCCTCACCCTGCGCCACCGCCTCCGCGGCGGCGGTGGCGATGGAGGCGCGACGGGGGCCGAGTCCCGCGACTGCTACCTCAAGATGTACGCCGAGAAGAAGCCGGACAAAGTCGACCCCAACGAGCAGCGGCTTTCCAAGTGGGTGAACTGCGCCCTCTCTTACGAGACTCTGCGGCAGCCTTGCGTGATGGATCGACTCGGAAATGTGTTCAATAAGGAATCTCTTGTGGAGGCTCTGATAGGTAAGAAGCTGCCCAAAGCTTTTAGTCACATTAGGGGTTTGAAAGATATGATTGATATCAAATTGGAGCCGATCCCCGGTGGGGAATCGAACAATGCCTGGTTTCAGTGTCCGATAACGGGGCTGGAGTTCAATGGGACTTACAAGTTCTTTGCTTTGAGGAAATGCGGGCATGTGTTGAGTGCCAAGGCTTTCAACGAGGTGAAGTCGAAAGCTTGTCTGGTTTGTTACAGGGAGTTTGAGGAGTGTGATAAGATTGTGATCAATGGGAGTGAAGAGGAAGTGGAGGCTTTGAGGGAGAAGATGGAGGAGGAGAGGGCTAGAGTTAGTAAGGATAAGAAACAGAAGAAGGTCAGGAATGGAGATGTTGTTGTTGCAGCAGCTGAAGGTGGCGTCTCTAATGGTGGAGAGATGGAGGAGTCTGGTAAGAGATTGAGTGGGAAGAAGCATGGGATTGTTGATGGTAAAGATATCGAGAAGGTCAATGTGAAGTCCGAGAAGTTGAATGGCAAGATTGAGAGTGCTGGCACTAACAACAAGAGGTTCAAGGCTGCTGCTGTGGCACCGGCTCATGCTACGAAGGAGGTTTATGCATCGATCTTTACGTCCTCGAAGAAGAAGTCGGATTTCAGGGAGACGTACTCTTGTCGATCTCTGCCTCTCGGCAGGAACTGATCTGAGTGGAACGCAAGCTATGAATGTGATGTCTGCTGATTATGTAATTTCGAATGCCTGATTGCTTGTATGAATTTGATGTTGTTAACCATATGAAGAATTATGTGCCAAGTTCTTGGATTGTGTATTATTGTGACATGTTCAATATTTGTTGTGAGATTTGCCTTTTCTGGCAGATATCCTCCTGCCTGCCTTTTCATTACAGGTATTTCAGAATAGTAGACATACTGAATTTATGACTTGCAAGTTGCAATACAAGAAAAGCTTCTTATATAGTTCTTAATCCATAATATCCATGACTAGCTATATGCATATATCTGACGACATTGTATACCTTAATTCTTGTACCTTCGACAAAAATGCTTTTTGTTGGAGACATTAGATCGATCGAACAAATGGAGTGAAACGTTCAATGCAGAACAGAATTATGATAGTACAAAATCTGTCTCTACAGTTTAGTAGATGATGCATGAAGTAGACGCTTGAGATCTTTCAGCGCAAAACAATTTTCAAGATGCTACCATATCGGGTTGAGGAAATGAGATGAACTTGAGAAGATGTCATAGAAGCTTACCCTGAAGTTGTTCATCACACATAGCAATTACAAACTTGGGGGTACGCAACGAAACAATACGACGCGCAATGAATCTAAACACCCTTGCCTATAGTGAATTTCCTAGTTCCTCTTTGTTCTTCACCATTGATTATAATATAACAAAATCGAGGTACAAACCTTAAAATACGGTATTGAATTTCCTAATAACCTCTACCGTGTTCTCTCGAATAGATAATGTTACAAGATTCCAGCACTTCCAAGTGCTCTGCTTTCGTATACGATGGACGAGGAGCTGTGATCCCTACGGCCAAAGATCTCGCCCCATCAATGGAGGCCTCAAGTCTGTCGTCCTGGTGCAGTAAAATAACTTGTTGATTGATTCTTCATTGCAACTGAAAACTGTGGCGTAGAGAGACGTTTGGCAATTCATTCTTCGACTGCAGTTCTTTTCTCGAAAAGTGCTTCCAAAAATGGGCCACATAATAGAGTAAGGGGTGGAAGATTGTGTGATGGTCCGCTGAATATTGTCTCCCAAGGCCTTTCGGTCGGGAAAGATGGGACAGACCACGGAGTGTGTTTTCTCGACGGAATTGGCGGCAGTAGCTCACCGTAGAGAGACGCATAACCAACTTGCCCTGAAAAAGCACAAGCAGCAGGCACCAGGTCAATTTACAGTGCGGTCTGAGATTCAGACCTGGGTCGAATAGATAGATATACGAAATAATTGAAGCCTACCAGATTCTTCGGGGCTGCTTTGACTCTTCCATCGTGTTACGCTTAGTTCTTCTGCTTCCGTCCCGTGTGGATCGAACAGTACATACTCGTGATCGGCATTCATGTATGCAAACAGTGTTTGAGCAGCCTGTTGCTGGTCGGATGAGCTCTCTTCATCGGAAGACTGATTTCTGATGAACGCTAGTGCGCCACCTTTGGCCTGGTTCACAAAGCAAAGAGGATAATCAAAGCAAGTTAGATACTATAGATGCTAGGAGAGCTTACTGTATACATGTTTGTAGATTATTTCTCCAACATTCAAGAGTTGACGGGGGTGGCCAAGCGAACTACCTTCTTGACTGACCATACAGCCACAGGATTCGGTTCGGCAGAATTGAATAACAAGATCAACCCATCTACTGTTTTATGCGATTTTTCATTAGGGTCGTAGACTCCACCCGAATCCGAAAGGAGGACGAGAGCAGCAAAAGAGGAACTATCCGGAGAACTGGCTATAGCTGCACCATGTATTCACGTGTTAACTGTTGATCAAGTACTAGCATTGATGACGAAACACTGACGTTTGAGGAGCCAATACAGTATCATTGGTCAGCTTCAAAAAGATAAAGTATTACCTTCTACGTGGAGCCTGTAAGACCAACATGTGGAGAGATTCAACAGACTCCAAACAGCAAGTTGTGGCTTTGAACCCCAAGATGCCGATACAAGATGGTCCGAGTTGCCAACAAACGAGAGGGCAACGATTGGCTGTTAAAATAAGGTCCATAAATATAGTCAGCAGATAAGTTACAAGACATGAGAGGAAGGAACAAAGTGAAAGACTTGTAGGCGCTGCAGCCCTCAAAAGACATCGCAGGTATCAGTAAGAAGCCAGGTGCGAAAGATATGCAAGAACTAGAGGCTCAATCATAGCTAGCAGGTCTCTCTGCCTCTTTGAGGAGAGAGCACAATCTTTTTAAAATTTATCGCTGGAGAAGTTCAAGAGCAGGCTATGCTAAACTTCTTCCTTAATTCATGATGATATAGGTTGTAGGATATTGGAACATTGAAATCAGAAATGAATAGGATGGTAGAGAAATCACCATAATAGCTTCGCCAATTACAGCCACAAGAAGGTTCTTATCAGGGTCCCACAATGTGATAACAGTTTCAGCTGCAACAGCCAGAACAGAACCATCAGGGGAGAAAGCAGCTGCTGTCATTGGCTTTTTTCTGCAAGATACCATAGAATATGAGAATCTATGGAAAATTTAATGGAAAAGACAAGATGATATACTCCCCACAGGGACAAGGTTCTTACTTGTAGGAGCCAACTGCATGGCAAATCCATCCGGAATTTGGCTGACTTTCTTCTTTCATGGGAACCCCACTGTTGGAAGTCCAAATCTGTGGCAATGAAAGAAAATGTTGCCTCATGTCAGGTGTCCACAAAGAATTGCCAGGATTTTCCGTACTTCAAGTTACCTTAAAGTCCCCACCAAAAGATGAGCTGACAGCCATTCGACGGTTGGGATGAAATACGATAGCAGAAATTCCAGCATCCCTACAGATAGTAAACCATCTTCATGAAGATTTATGTACTAAGCAGCATAAACAAAGTCCCTAACTAAGTGCATTCTGAAAACTGAAGAGAGGATAGTAATATTTTGAGTCTAAGGAAAGCAGCCAGATGAAACATATACAATTTCAAGATAAAGAAAAAACATGCGATAAGAATGCTTGTGAGGGAGTGGAGAGCAGGTTTATTGTGCAGTTTGCAGCACAAGCCTAGTACTTGTACAAGATGCAACTCCATTTCTAATAATTTGTGACAAGGGCCAAACCTGTGTGGTTCATAAACAATGGTTGACAAGCTGAAATCTCCAGCCTTCGACTTTGAGAACCAAAACTTAAGGCAAACAAGGTGTCCCAAACCATCTTCCGGCAGTCTCACCTCAGAAGTACACAACATAGAACCATCTAGAGATAGAACTACAGATGTCACAACTATCTGCAACAATACAAGCTCTTCAAATTTCCCACTTTCAAGGAACATGTAAAAGAGCATAGTTCAGGTTAAAAAGATTTAGGTCAAGCAACTATGTTACCGTGACTTCATCAACTGGTTGGTGATTTCTCTCATAAACTTGAACCTGGAAAGTGGATCATCAAAATAATGCAATTTAAAAAGATATACATAAGATGCTGAGTAGATGGTCCAAATGAAAAGGGGATGAGAAGATTCATTGGAAGGCCTACAAATGTAAGCATTAACAGAAGAATGAGTAATTCTCTCAACCTCTGAAATTCCGCGATCATCAAAAAGGCTGTATAACTGGACTGCATAACTCTCGGTGCGTAAGGCAACCAAGCCAGCATTCTGATCAAAGGAAACCCCACTTGACATACCCTTGGATATCTCTGGATGCGAATATGGAAGCTGCAAAAGAGGAGAAGAATAAACCAAAAGCAATCCTTTAAACACATGTAGTTAATAACAAATTATCCTTGGAAACTGACTAGATTAACTAATTACACGTTCATGTCTAGCTCTAGATGTGGGTTGCTATGAGATACCAGGTATAGTTCGGGTTCCAGGTTTCCATATGAACCTCCGAACTTAAACATGTAGAAACCCAGATATACAATGGTCAAAAGAAATGACAATAGAATTTCTATATGCCCCTAATTTCCTCTCCATATCACTCTTTATTGTTTTTGGTAGTCTTCATTTTTCCTCTGTTGCGTTCGTCTTTAAGGGATATGTTCTAGAAAGAACCAGTTTACATACTAACAAAACTAAAAGATTCGACAGCTTCACACGTGTACTCCTCATGCTTATTGCTAAACAGAAACCTTACTACAATTAAACCAGGCAAATTACAGTCATAACCAACCTTTATTCCAGAGATAGACTTCAAGATTTCCATTGAAGGCCTTCTAACTAGATGGATCTGATTATCTGCACAAGATATCTGATGTCCCTTGTTTTAGATAAAATTGTCAAAAACAGTTAACCATGCTTAGACATGGAAACTCTCAACCAATTCCAATTTAATGCAACCATGTTCAACTTACTGATGAAAATGAAGGATCTGGAGAGTCTGTAAAATGTAAGAGTGGAGATCCGATTCGCGGTAAAAATTTCTTCTTCCCAGTGTCCACCTGCCAGACTACAAGAACACCTTCTTTCCCCCCTATACACAAATCAAAGCAGGGGGTTCAGTGAAAGAACAGGAAAGAGAAGGGATCCAAGAAACTGAAATCCACAAAAATCCACAATTATGGGACAGTTAAGTAGCTCCCAGTTGATTGGTGACTGTTGCACAAAATTTTCAACAAGTGTCATGCTTAAAATATTCTACCTGGACCAATGAATCTTAGGGCATAGCTCTACTATTATTGTATTCAGAAAGTGGAGTGTCATTATTTTCAAATCCACATGATACTAGTAACAGAAATAATCAATTTCCTAGTCCAAGTTAACAACATAAATAGGGACTTCTTTTATGAACTCCAAAGCCTAGAAAAGTTGCCCTTTTTCTGTGTAAGAATATACAAATGCACGAATAGCTAACACGAGATAGGACATCTTTTCTTTTACTTTCACTATTTTACCTGAAAGTAAATAAGCTCCATCAGAAGAGAAGGAGAGCAAATTCACTTGAGCAGGGTGCCAGTGCCATGTTGTACATGACTCAGCGTCATCACTACCCCTCACACCAGGATTTTCTTCATCCGTAATCATTGAACTTCCATTTACATGCCCATTGGCCATGGCAAACGTTTTGTTTCCAAAACCTCTCCATATCATAATTCTCCCAGTCGCATCACCTGCAGCAAGAATTCTCTCGGTAGGATGGAACGCAATAACCGTCAGGGCCTTTGTATGATGTAGGGTAATCTTCTTGAGCACTGTACGACCAGAATCAGTAGATGGCACTTTCCATATGTCAAGCTTACGCTTTCTCCGGACACCCAAAAGTTCACCACAAGAGCTCATTGTAATTATCTCTGGTTTCTTCATCTGTAAGACGAAAATAACACCATTTAAATCCATTTCATTGACTATAATGCATATGCAACTTCTCTGAATAGCTTTATACATATCCAAACATACATACATATAGATATTAGACATACAATGCCGCTAAGCCAATTTTAGAAATGCTTTCCAAATAAGATAAGGACAACAGTTGCAAAAAAGATAGTAACAGCAGTTCCTGGCCAATCAATCACATAACCATGGCTCTCGATTTATTAATTCAAGCAAGGAACAGAGGGTAAAAGCTACCCTTAGGGTAGCATAACCGATTCACTGACAAATTAATGACCTGTACAAAGTGAAATCATACCTCTGCCAATACTGCTCCTCCTACCAAACGAGCGTCGGTTAAATTACATTTTCTGACTTGAAATAAGCCTTTAGCCCTATCTTCTGCTTCTTCTTTAGCTTCAACACAAATGTAAGCGAAAGATTTTACGGCCTTTTCACTCTTTTCCACTAAATGGTTAAACAAAGAGGGAATCACCTGCATAAGTATAAACAGAATCAGCATCCAAATTAAAGTACACTGGAATGATGAATCCTAATGCTTCATGGAATACTAATTAATGCCAAAATGCAGCTCTACGTGCTTGTCCAAGCTTAGGGGAACACTGAGGAGATAACAACGAACACTAAAGATAACAGCACAAAAAGAATCAGCAAAACCTAACTAAGGTTTTATTTACCATGGAGTGAACAGGAAGCTTAATATCAACACTCCTAATCATCTCCGGAACCGCGAAATCCCAATACCGAATGGTTCCATCGAGTGAAGCCGTCCAGCAAAAGCACAGTATCTTACTCCCTGGAGTGCTGGCCGGCACCACTATCACCGCCGTCACAAGCGCCGCATGGCCGTCTAACGACGCTACCTGAGGAAGTCGTCATAGTCAAAATCAGCTTCGAAACAAATTAGAAAAAGCATACTAGAAAATGAAACGAGTTAAGGACAGAGGAAATTAATTAGAGAGTCACCTGCAAGCCGGTGTCTGTGCTGAAGACGGCGACGGAGTTGCCGGCGCAAACCAAGAGGCGTTTGGAGTCGTTGGAGAAAACCGGCGGCGAAGACACGTAGTTCCTCCCTCCTCTGATCATAATGATGATGGTGGAGGCGCAAGCGAGATTCAGAGGCTGAACGGAGGAAGAGAATAGGTCGACTGAACGGCGGCGGTAGCGAGCGGGAAGAAGGAAGAGAGGGGAAGCACACGGTGGCGGGGTTTTTTACTGCAGTTGGCTTCGTTTCAAGGTTTTTGGGCCTTCCAGCGAGAGAAGGAAAGGAATGCCCTAACTGAAAAAAATGGCCCGAGTTTTCCCTTTTCTTTTTCCTATTTTCAAATGGAAAGAAATAAAACCCCCAACTCCCCAATTATGGTAGCACAAGACTCCTTTCACTGTGGCTTTAGACTCATTTTTACTATTGTATCTTGGCGTGAGCTGGATGTGGGTGTATGTATATGTTCTCTACTTGGTTTTTGATGGTTTAGTTTGATTTGGACTACTGCTGGGAATTTGAGTTGGAGGAAGAAACTCCTCCTGGTCGCGTTGAGAGCATAGAGAACAAAAAGGTTTTCTTTCGGGTTTCCTTTCCTCGCGTTGATCACGCGGAGGCATTTTATTCCCACCAGCCTTCTATTTAGCTTATGGGATCTTGGGGGCTGGAGTAGGGGTGGGCATTCAGTTCGGTAAACCCGAACCGAGCCAGACCGAAACCGACGGTTCGGAATTCGGAAGAGATATGTGCTTAATTCGGAAATCAGGGTCTTATCGACCGAACTGATTTTTCGAAATCCGAAGCGAAAAACCGAACAGTTAAACCAGCTCACATATTTTGTTGTTAAGCCCACTCCCTTGACCCAAACATTTCCCCCTCTCCATCACAACCCACTCAAACACAATCCCTCAACCCTCTCACAGGCCGAAGCTCACTCACGTGGCCCAAAACCTTTCCCTTTATGCCATCACAGCACCCAAATATTCCTTCAACCCTCTCACAGGCCAAGCCTACCCAAAAACACTTTTGTCTCTCTACACCCTTTTTACCTGCTCTAACCCTAAGGAAAGAAGAATGGAGAAGACACAAAGAGGAAGAACCGAGTAACCCGCTGCCAACGCGCCTGCCGCCAACGCTAGCATCACTGACGCAGCTCTTCTCTTCCCTTCTCTTCAATCGCACCACAGACAACCACATGCAGGCAGGGAAAGATCTTAATCTGACCAAAGATTGAAGCTCCGACCACCAGTTCTAGGCTTTGCATGCGGCGGAACTCGTTAGTGTTCTGAATCTGACTGGAGATTGAAGCTCCGACCACCAATTCTGGGCTTTGCATGCTCCGACCACCGATTCCATATTTGGTTGTCGTCGGGCTTGTCTTGAAAAAATTGCTACAGAGTAGGAGGGGACGCCGTGGTCAGGATCGTATTGGATTTGGGTTGGAGTCTTGGAGAGTCGAGGTGAGAGAGTGAGGAGAAGAGAGGAGGTAATGGTTAGCGCAGGTAGAAGATGGGTTTGGGTTGGGGAGTCGGGGAGAGAAAGAGGAGAAGATGGTCGATTATGGGGAGAGGGAGGTCTGAATTGGGGGTAATATTTGGCAGTGGGTGGCTTTTGAGTTTTGATGTGGGAAGGGCAGGATGTGAGTGAAGGTTCGGTTTTCTCGGGTAAACCAGGCCGAACCGACATATATTGCGATTTGGATTGGCCGAACCGAAATATATTTCGGTTCGATTTCGGTTTGGGGATTGGATGGATTAGGAGACCCGATATGCATGATTTCGGTTCGGGTTCGACCGAATCAAACCGATGCCCACTCCTAGGTTGGAGTAGATATTTTTGCGAGTTTTGAGGCTTTTGTATTGGCTGTGTTAGGTAACGCGAGTCTCTATGCCTTGGTCGCAGAGCTAGAGAGCCATTTATGAAGCCGGAAGTTTTGGGGGATTCGTCTGTGGGCCAGGGAGTTTTCTGATAATGATCTTGGGAAATCGCCACCATTCATTGTCCTCCCTCCTCTACCACATATTTCACCTAACTCCACACTTTGCCCTTCTACCTTCATCTCTCTGCTCTGCATTCTCGACAGTGGAGAGACAGAAGGTTGTGCTTTTTTTTCTTCTGGTGGTTGTTCCTTCTTTTTGTTTCTTACTCACAGGGTTTTGTTTTGTCACTTTAAATTCAGGCGACTGTTTTCTCTGTTTCTCGAGGGAGTTTGTTCACTATTCAATGTAAGTTTGTTTTTCACCTAGGTTTCTTCATTCCCTTTGTTTAGCAAGGCTTTGGTGTATGAGGATTGTGGGTGATGTTTATCTATCCTCGGATGGTTTTTTTTTCGATCTCTTTTCGGTAGTCGCCGGACTGTATGACTTTGGATGAAAGTAATGAACCATTCTACTATGGTTTTGCCTAGTGAGATCCACATTTGGAGAATCTGGCGTGACTGACAATAGTCCCACGTTGACCAAGAGACTGATAGGTTTGATTATCTTTTCCTGTTTATTATTTCATTTTTCTTGATAATACTACAATTTAATGATTTTAAAAAAGAAATCCAATGTCGAAGACTCGAAGGGGATCTGAAAGGTCTTGCATGTTTAAGGTTTATTTTGCTAATGATAGTTGTTACGTACACTGATTAATTTCTCGGTTTTTTGCAGCAGTTGTTCTTATGCAACGTGCAAGCATACCTGGATTCAGAGAAGCTGCAAATCTTTTGTACTCTTTTCCTCTATCTGCTGGGTTTATTTTCTTATTTTTCCTTAATAAATTGGTTTCTCTATACCTCCTCCGTTAGCCATTCTTCATCATCCATTGATTAGTTTTCTCCTTGATGCATGACATGTAGGTGGGTTCAGGACATGCCTTTTGCGGAAGGTGCGAGGTAATAACATTGTGAGCACAGGTTGAGGCATGCAATAGTTTTGAGCGAGTTAGGTGCTTTGTAACCTTTTCATGTTCCCAGTTAAAATTTTGGGCGACTCATATTCACAAGCTCATTATTGTGATTTGCAATTTTTTCTTTATGCAGTGATGTCTTGAAAAGATGGAATGGTTGTTGCTGGTGGTTGAAAGGGAGTATCAAACTGCATATTTGAATTTAAATTAATGGTCTGGTTTGCTTCTTTTTTCTCCCTCCAGGTTATCTGTTCTTTTATTTGAAGAAGATTGTATCTCTTGCATCGTTGAATTGAATGGGTATTCTGAGTTGGATGCTTCTGAACAAAGATAAATGTCGACAATTCATAGAGCTATTTTCCATTTCCAGTTGAGGACCCAAATTATTTAACACAGAGGATAACAAACAATTTTCTATGGAGTTTCAGCACTATGAACCTTGGTCTACAGTTTCATACCCAGTATTGTCAATGAAGATATCGATATTTTGATTCAATCATGCCGACTTAGTTGTTCATTTCTTCTTTGTTTGCAGGTGTAGGTTTATTGTCTAGGTGTTAGCAATGAACTGTGTTTTGTAAGGTGAAGAATACTGGCCAATAATTGTGTATTGTCTAGGTTGTTATCAAATCGATGATGTCAGTAGATTATCCAGAAATTGGTATGTCAACACGTAGATCAAGCTGCATTTGTTATCTAAACTTGATTTATCCAAAGTAGTGATTTACCAAATGTTGCACTATAGAAACATGTTTATGCACAAATAACTCTCGACTTCCGGTGTTTTTGAATCAATGAATCCATGCGTGAAACTTCTATCACTTATCACTAATGCAAATCAATAATCACTTCGACTGACTTTTATCAATCTTGGCGCAAAGCGTGGGCTTTAGGAACTAGTATTTTGTTACAACTTACGGAAAATTCAATAAATTTATGAAGCTATGGTATGGACAAGTTACACCTCAATAAGACTTACTAGTTCATGGCCCCGGCCGATTGGCCGGGCTATTTTAATTTTTGTTAATTATAAATTTATCTTTTGTTTGTTGATGTACATATTCGTCTCTTTATGATAATTTGCTAAAATTTATTGTTATAATTATATAAAATTACTAAAATTTGACGACTTTGTGAAAATCTAAAATAACAAAACTAAGTATGAAATTATAATTTCAAGATCAAAACTTGATTCCATATGGGGTAAAGTTAATGTTGGGGTCTGGATAGTATAACAACACTTAAATTGTTGTTATAGTAACAACATAATTCATTAAGGACAAAAGAGTAAATTACACAGAAAGTAATAAAATAATTTTGATTAAAATTCACAATCCTCTGCCCAGATCTACTCTTCCTTCAACCCCATTGCGATGCTTCTCCTCCGCTCCCATTCTTCCCCGCCACCCGCCACCCCTGCTTCTTCCCCTCCACCCTTGCTTCTTCTGTCATCGGGCTTTTTATTTCGCCATCGGCGGCGCCAATCCGCATCTCTACCATCATCGGCGCCATCGCATCAGCTGCATCGATTGAGCTCGGGATTGGGGGGAAAATTGTCGTGGTTGAGCTCGGGATTGGGGAAAAAATTGTCTGCAAAATTGTGTGGATGGAATTGAAACATCGACGACGCTGTCTAAACAGGTGAAACGGTGGGAAGAGGTTGTCGTTGCCGCCGTCGAATTAGTATGGAGACGGGGTGAAACATCGCCGCTCTTTCTCGTCATCGACGCGCAGGATCAGACCTTCAGTACCTTCCGCCGCGAGGACTCGACATGGAAGAATTACTACCACTGCCACGCCTGAGATGACAGTCGGCATTGCATGGGGATTGGGTTCAGGGAGGGAAAATTCTTCTGCCTGTTCGAAACCGGTACCTTTTAATTTTCGGAATCGGCGGCGGCGGCGAGCGGAGGATGCTGGAGCTGGTTTCTTCTCCAACGCCGGCGCCGGCGGGCCAAGTGTACAATAATATGCAAATTGTGGAGAGGAGACGACGATGGGTCGTGTGTGGTGGTGAATTGGGAGCGAGTTGCTGGTACAGGAAGACAGAGGTGGCGGCTGGCGAGAGTAGAGAGGAGAAGAAAGGAAGAAGAAGAAAAAAAATCTAGTTTTTACGTCGTTTGGATGAGGAATTCTAATGGATCAATCTGACACAATTGTCTCGTTTTGAGTCAATTGTGCTACATTGATCCGTTTGGCAGCAGAAAATTTGGATGAAGCAATTTGGGCTGGGGAATTCTGAATTGACTCATTTTGAGCCAATTACAATTGTCTCGGGTGGGGGCAGGTAATCTGAATTGACTCGTTTTAAATGACTCGTTTTGTAAAATGAAACAATTGGTCAAATTGTCTCGTTTTACAATTGATCCATCCAAACGACCCCTAATGTATTTTAGTGTATTATTGTGTTTATGGTATGCATTTAGGAGTTATCGGTCTGCAGATCACTAGTCTTTAATTAACATACCAGAAACCTCCTAATGCAGATCATAAACATGATTAAAAAACCCACAAAAAAGCAAACAAGAAACCTTCTAATGCATACCACAAATTCCCTAAAACAAACCAGAAACACCACAAACCAAACCACAAATATTTTGAAAGCACACCAGAAAACTCATAACGCAAACCATAAACACCGTAAAACAAACCACAAAAACAAACCAGAAACGTCCTAATGCAGACCAAAAATATATTAAAACAAACCAGAAACCTCACAAAGCAAACCCACAGAATTTTCAAAAACACACACCAGAAACCTCATAATGCAAACCACAAACACGTTAAAGCAAACCACAAAAACAAACCAGAAACCTCCTAATGCATACCACAAATCTCCTTAAACAAACCACAAACCCCTCAATGCAAAACACAAATTTTTCGAAAACAAACTAGAAACTTCTCAATGCAAACCACAAACACGATAAAGCAAACTGGAAACTTCTTAATGCAAACCACAAACACGATAAAGCAAACCACAAAAGGCATACAAAAATATGAGAAACCAAACCATAAATCTCACAACGCAGACCATAACATCCGGTGGTCGTTGACCGGTCAACGAAAATGTTGACCAAATTCCGACGACTGTCAGTGACCGGATTTCGGCGCGATAGGCATATTCCAGCCCCGATGACTAGATTCTGACGCCGGTAAGTGTATTCCGACTACGGTGAGCATATTCCGGCAACAGTGAGCATCTTCCGGCGTGAGTAAGCATATTCCGGTGACAAAAGGCATATTCCGGTGACCGGCGACCAGATTCCGGCGACCGGTGGCCGAATTCCAGCGACCAAAATTTTGGGCCGAAAATTTAAAAAAAATTATTTTTTATTATTATTTAAACATATTTTTCATAATGACAACTATACCCCTGTTTTGATTTTACACTAGGTCAACTAAGCTAATAAAAAGTTATCACAACCATAACTTCCTATTGGTTGGAGACTAGTATTGTTACAATAACAACACAATGGGTGTTGTCACACTATCTAGTCCCTAAGGGCCTGTTTACTTTCATTTCTGTTTCCTGTTTTTGAGAAAACAGATGTTGAAAACAGGTGAAAACAATATTTTGTAGTTTCCAAAAACAGGAGGAAGTTGCCACTTTTTGTTTTCATAGTTGGAAACGAATAGAAAACAGAATGAAAAGTAAACAAGTTTTCTTATTTGGGTTGCTAAATTTATGACATGAAAACAGGAAACAGGAAACGAAAATGAAAGTGAACAGGGCTTAATGTTGGGTTAAGTTAATTCCATATGGACAAAAGGTTAATTCCATATGAGCTGAAGTCCAACCATCTATAATAAAAGAGAAGAAAAGATTAAAGATTATATGTTTCTAAGTTGTAACCTTTTTATCAATATTTGTTGGGAATAGGAGCAAAGTAAATGGAAACAGATGAAGGTTGCATCAGTAAAAGTAAACTAAAAATAATCCGTTTATTTTGTAGGTGACTTTTAACTGCGGTTGTCATGTTAGTGGCAATTGGCGGCCGGTTAAACCTGGTTTAATTGGTTCTAGTCATGAAACCTGCATAAATATCACCGGTATGATTGACATGATCGATTTACATACTCTAAGTAAAATGATGTCATTTTAGTAAATTTGATTAATAAAAATGAATTAATTATATGTTTTCTGAATATAAAAGTTAAAAGTTGATGTAATTTGTTGGATTCAGGTATAATTGTTTAGATATTAACGTTAAATATTATATTTAAATATGAGTTTTTTGTTATTTTATTTGGAATGTAGTATTTTATTAAGCCGCCAAACAACACAAACTGATTATTCCACTTGTCATACAATTTTACTTGTTAAACCGGCAGAACGTATGAACAAACAGGTTTAAGAACCTTGCTTTTACCCCAAAAGCAGTGATTTGATAAATCATAACAACAACAATTGATAATAGAGGTTTCAGTAAATAAAAAGATATGATTGTATTTTAGTGTGGGAGGTGGGATGGTGGGAATGTGAAAAATAAAAGAGTTTGAAATTAGAAAAAGAAACAATAGCAGTAGCATTTTTAGGCGAAGAGAAGAGGGAGAGAATTGACAAATTGAACCCTCCTAAATATGCGGGTTGAGCAGGAGACGCTGAGGTGGCAACATTTTTTCACTCACATTGCCTTATATTTATGTGTAGATGTGTAGATGTAGATCAAAGGAAAACCCATTAGCCCATGAACACATTTGGGTTTTGAGCCCATGTACGTCTGGTATGGAGGTATGAGCAGTAGATGGGCCCACTGCATAAGACTTGGGCTGACGGGAGGAAAGTGAGTTTGGTCGTTTCCACCTCAGACATACCGTTTTTTTGTCAGAGCCAATGTTGTCAGAACCGAACCGGAGCATGACCCGGTAATGCGAACGGCTCGCACTTTAGCGGTCCAACCGACATTAGACCGTTTAAAAACCGTTAGAGAACCGGTATCTAATAAACGTTATCAGTATAAATAGTTGACATTTCTTAATCAGAGCTCATCTCTTTCCTTCGAAATTGTGAAATGGAAATAAGGATTCAATTTGAGAGCCCGACTTTTTTGGTTTATTTCAATTTTCTACAATTTTTGTAATTAAATTTTGTGTCTGAATGGCAAAAACCGGGCGAGCGGCTCGAACGGTTAACCGCCTAGGCCGCTCGCCAACCGCTACATAAAACCGGAGCGGCTTTTAGACTGTTCCGAGCCGGTTTTGTGACCGGGTGGCGGTTTTACCGGTCGGGCCGAGCGGCTCGGTTCGGCTTTAATAACACTGGTCATAGCAATCCTTGAAGATTAACTAGGTAAACACGAGTGTAATCACATTGCGGAATCAAAGACAAATCATATAAGAGTAGTCAAACAAAATAGTAGATAAACCAGGATAGCGTAAGGTTGTACGTGCCACACAATGGGTAGCTCGATTCGCATCTCGAGGTGTGTAAAGTAAATCCACATGAGGGAAAAGAGAGAGGAGCGACAACAATTCGCGGAGTAGGACCCCCGAAACAACATCATTATTGTCTTCATTCACCAATTGTCGTACCACATTGATAACATCACTTGAAATCTGCACGGGCTTGTCGCGCCACTGCCACCGAAGGAGTAGGAGCAATGTTTCCCGAATTGCCAAAATCTCCGTGCATTTGGGGTCAGAGATCCCACCGAACACCCTTCCAAATGCAAATAAAGGTGAGACCCCATCATTCGCGAATCCCACCAGACCAATGGCTCCATGAGTCGGAGAATGAATGGCACCATCCACCGCAATCCGAAAGCATGATGATGAAGATCGACTACCAAACGAGTTGAGGGATCGCTGTGAGCCAGATGCAGTTGGGGTCGTTGTGGGCTTGTGGCAAGATGATCGTCCGCGAGGTGTGAAAGCAGTTGGATCATAGTTTTAGATCACAAATCCAACACCATTGAAAATTGATCAAAATGTGTGGTTGCATAAGTTACAACGTAATTGTCAATTATAAATGTCCAAGTAATTAAAAAATTGTAGACATAAGGTCACACGAGTTCTATACCAGATCTTGCATGTTATCAGTCATATAATTTTTTTTGTATCCTAGTACTTTTGAATAATACAAATTATCTTTTGATAACGAAATTACAGGATTTTTTTTCGGTTGAATCACAGATTTTTCATAACAAAAAGGAAATGGTTTATAAAAAATAAAAGTAGAGAAATGCTATTGGTAGTTTGCTCAAAACCTCCTGAAAAATTAAAAATGAAAAAAATGAAGATAAAAGGAAAAAAGAGATGAAAGAAATACGAGATATTATTTCGTTTCATTGTTTTCCTCTATAGAAGAAAATCAAAATAATAGCTCATATATCGCTCCAAGATCATATCACCACTCTCTTGTATTGTACCTTTGTCTCTTAAGAATCTGCAATCTAAATCTCACTGTTTCTTCTTCTTCTTTGTTCTTCTCCTCATCTGTTTCGCCAACCTGCTTGCAGTTCAATGTCGTTACAATGTAACAATAAAGGAACAATCTCTTCCTCTTATACCTGCTAATAAATCAAAATATTATCTCCTCTTATCGCTCTTCATTTCCACCATTTTAGTCTCGTTCGCCACACGTTTTTGTCTATTCGTATTTTGGAATTTCACTTGTCCCCTGTTTTTTAAAAATATTTTTCTAGGAAAATTGAAAAAACATACCTATAAAATTTCTTCTTTGTCGTACTTGTTGATTTAAAAAATACACCTACAAAGATTTTCTCGAAAAGCTCCGAGGAAAAAATATTCCGCGAAAAGCCCAATCCGTTCTCTGGGATTGGCGCTTTTTCGGGACCGAAAGGTACGATCTTTTCTATCTGCACATCCTCTTGCCTGTCTAATTTTCACTCGTTTGGATGTTTCCGCCTCGTGGGTTTCCTGTTGGACGAACTGAATTTTTCTGGGTTCCTTTGGTTCGGCGGAATTTGGGGGTTTTCTGTTCCAATTCTAGGGTTTATCCTCCCGCATGCCCTGATTACTCTGTTTCTTTCTCGTGCAGGGGGCTAGAGTTCTTGGTTTCTGAGAATTCCCGTGTGGGGGGTTTTTTCATCTGGTATCGAACCAGAAAGGAAATGTCGATTCTCCCCAAGAGCGAGTCAATAATTATCCGTGACGTATGGAACGATAACCTCGAAGACGAGTTCGAGCTGATTCGGGACATTGTCGACGATTTCCCTTTCATCGCGATGGACACAGAGTTCCCTGGGATCGTTCTACGGCCCATAGGCAATTTCAAGAGCGGCTCCGATTACAACTACCTTACCTTAAAGGCCAATGTCGACCTTCTCAAGCTAATCCAGCTCGGCCTCACTTTCTCCGACGACAAAGGCAACTTGCCCACATGTGGGACTGGCAAGTTCTGCGTCTGGCAATTCAACTTCCGGGAGTTCAACCCGAACGAAGATGTCTATGCCGATGACTCCATCGAGCTTCTCTCGCAGAGTGGCATTGATTTCAGAAAGAATATCGAGATGGGAGTTGAGGCGAAGCGGTTCAGCGAGCTGCTGATGTCGTCGGGGATTGTGTTGAATGACAATGTGCATTGGGTTACCTTCCATAGTGGGTATGATTTCGGGTACCTTTTAAAGCTGCTTACTTGCAAGAATTTGCCCGAGACGCAGGCGGAATTCTTCAAGCTGATCAGGTTGTACTTCCCTGTGCTGTATGATATAAAGCATCTGGTGAAGTTCTGCAATAGCCTTCATGGTGGGTTGAACAAGCTGGCCGAGCTCTTGGATGTCGAGAGGATTGGGATATGTCACCAAGCGGGTTCGGATAGCTTGCTCACTTGTTGTACATTCATGAAATTGAAAGAGAGTTTCTTCAATGGTTCGACAGAGAAGTATGTTGGTGTGCTATATGGTCTTGGTGTGGAGAATGGACAGAATACTCATTGATAAGAGGGCAATAGAAAGAAGGAAAAAAAAAAAATCATAATGAAATAAAAGTATAAAAAATGAAGTTTTGGTTAGTGTTACATCGGTGTTCCAGTTCTCTTCTGTTGCATTCTGTATTGTGTTTTCACTGTTTTCTGCTTGCAGGTTTCAACACGATATCAGGTAATGAGGCTTCTCTCTAGTCTCTTCCATGGGATGGCTTGCCCTCCATATGCCTTCTCCTTCACTAGATTTGCATTGCACTCCGGTCCCTATAGTCTCCTTGTTGCTCGGTGATGCTCGAGCTGCTGGTAATCTTGGTTACCGGATTAGGAAGTGTTACCATCGTGCATTAATTTGGACCATTTGATTGGACCGTGGTGTTTGAGTTTTCCGACACTCCTACTCTCTTGCACAGGCTATGCCATAGTTCGGCCATTAGCCAGGATATGGCTAGTAAGTCAGCTGCTAAATCGACATCTTACCAGGGATGGTTCCCTAGCATGGTTTTGTCCTCTTTAGTTCTGAAATTTTGGCCGTTCTCGATCACTCATCCATGAAGGTTGCATTGCATTCTACTGCTTGTGTTAGAGATTGCTGTTTGCCTAGTGTTTAGTTAGTTAGTGTGATTACTATAGGACTTGTACAGGATTGATAACATTGCGTGGCTCATGTGGACACTAGAGCTTCTTTGCCTTGCTCATTGAAGAATGGGGAAACTAGGCCAGGTCGATTCAGCGAATTGGTGAATTAGTCGTGTCCCCTGTCGATTCTCTTCTGAAACCACCCATCAAAATGAACTCCCAGCAAGCCGATTGCTATCTTACTGTCCAATTTTGTTCAACATCTCGCCTCATATGTCATTGCCCCTTACTGTCCACTGTCCAGTCCCCTAGACTCCCAGTTTGTAATTTTCCCCTGCCTTTTCATTAGATAGAGAAGAGCACCAAGACTTTGCGACTTGCTAAATCATATAACAGTCGAACCAATCGTGTCAAGTTCTGAATTGTTTAGTTGCACCTATCGTGCATTGCTCCCAGCAGCACGTAGGACTACATTAGGCAGACAGAACAAACTTAAATGAGGGAAAATTAGCTGCTTCAACATCGTTTTCATTCAACTGCTGGATTATAGCGATAGGGATTAGGGAAGACGACATTAATGCAATAAAGATCCACATTCCATTTCGCTCTAATAACGGTTTATTTGAACAATCTAATTTTGGAGTTCAAGGGTGAGGACTGAACCATTAGAACCCTTTTACTTTACACTGAATGCAGCTGACAGTCACTATTACAAGATCCACTTCAAAAACTTACACCACCAGGAGGTAGTGATAGAATCAGACAATATCACAAGTGAGAGGGTTGCCAAGTTTTTTCAGAAAGCCCCCTGCAGCAGTTCGTAAAAACACCCCAAACGTGTCCATCGTTTCGTGTCCTGACAATGCGCAAGGCTAGAGAAGAACATTACCCAGCAGCATTTCCACTGATTTATTAGCCTACTCTCGCTTCTCTTCTTAGCACCTGGTTGCAAGAAAGAGCAGATAACCAGGAAACTGTTAATTAAGTAGTTATCAAGGACTGCAAATTTTCGACGTAACTATATACCAACCGGTCTAAAGATTCTGGCTTTCCAACAGCTATTGGATGTAAGAATCATTTAGATTAACATAACCATGAGCAAACTGAAATTCTTCAGAACAATCCTAGTGAGATCTAAATTACAAGGAAAAGTTTACCTCCTCTGCAAATTTTATCAAAATAGTCGTCCTAGGTCGTTGCTGGCCTTCCATAGGAACAAAATGAGCTGTTACTACTGCTGGAAAACCAGCATTATCCAGCACACCCTGCAGTTGAAGAAGACGAGATTATTTTACCTGTTCAGAAAGTTGACTATATGGTATGAAATATGAATTCAGGGCTTACCCTTACTATTCCAGCAACGAAAGCCCCGCAATTAAAAGTTCCCATGTCTTTAGGAATGGAAATAAATCTGTGAACATTATGGTCAATCAGGGTACCGTGATTGAACATGGATAGAGCACTAGTGATAAATAATCAATTGTTGATATCATTAATAATGAGCAAGGAGAAACCTGTTAACGAGAAGCTCTTTCTCACTGATCATGTATTCATCTTCATGTTCAGTTCCCTTCTCGAGGGAATCAGCTACCTGATAGAATAACAGACAGAAGAGCAAGGAGAGAAAGTACCAGATGTGAGTGAAAGATATTGTCAACACAGCATAGCTGGGCTACAGCCTACAGCGGAATCGATACAAAGTGTAAGCAATCCCTCCTTAGAATCAGCAACCAGTTACCATAATGGAAATTGTCTACAAAGGAGAAGGAAAACGATTCCAATACAACTGCAGGCAACAAAGAGAACCCAGAAGGGAATTCCTAAGAAGTTATGAACTTACTTTTCCAAATAAAACCTTCCACACTGTGCTGTGTACGAATGACAAAATCCCTAGGAGTCGTGTTTCACGTCTATTTCCCTGCGACGGTCAGAAAGTCGTAAACTTAAACACATGGCACAAGGAAATTTTCCAATTATATTACTGGTGAAAAAAGAAAAAACAGGGTGCATCTCTCCCAAAGTAAAGCATATCATGTGTCCTGTATTCTACGAGCTCTGAATAGCTATAAAGCATGGATACTGTCAATTGGAAAGCTTAAAGTACCCATTCAGGAAAAATTAGAACTTTAAAAGCAAGGAATGTAATGTCTGGAGTCTTAGTACTTCAAAGATTCCAATACATTTAAAGTCACCTTCATCCTAAAAAAGAAGCTTCTCGTACATTTAAAGTCACCTTCATCCAAATTAATATAAAAAAAAGGCTTCCGGTACATTTGCAGCTACCAAGGAAAACCATCCAACGTCTGACATCTCCGAAAGACTCATAAATTAGCTGTGCAGATTGAGCAGCTAACTGATAACAGATGAACTATAACATAGATTACCTTTTCTCTATGACAAAGAAGTTCTAGGCATCGAGCTCCAACAGCATAGCCTGCATCCTCCAACCTGCTCCATTGAGGTTAACTTTTCAGAACCATAACGATGCATTATCTAAAGCTTCAAGCGTTTCACGCAAGACACCAATATTGCCAATAACCGGATGACACCTCACCTTCGCTCTAATTCAGCAATGTTGTCAACCTGAGTTTGGTTATACTGTACAAGCTCCGAGAACAAGAATGCAAAAGCACTCAAACTAACCTGAAGAGACAAATAAAAAAGGAAACGACATCCGTCAAGTACCAGAAGTATCAACATCCAAACCGAACAACAATCACGAGCTCTGGTGTAGTGCTGATTCTTTACAGGATGAACTTCACAAATCAGATGTTCTATCAAATATTGTTGAATACGATGAATTTCCCAGAGCTGCATAACACTAAGGAGCAGACTAACACCAAAACTACGCATCAAAGCTTACAGTCTCATCCAGTGGCGAAGCCAAGAATCTGAATGAGAGGGGCTAACTTGAATCGTGACAATTGGGCAGGGGGGGAAAACCAGCAAAAGGATCTAATTCACCGGGAAAATGTACCAGAACTGGAAATCGAAGATTGCAAAATTTCCCACGATCCGGCAATCGTGAGCAATGGCTAATCGAAAGCTACCAGCTCCTACCGTCCGTGTTTTTTCTCGGCAACCAAACAATACAATGCATCTAGAATTGACAACGAAGATGATTCTATGTACCTCCTGCTTGCCCTTGCTTAGGGGTTTGTCGAGGACGTTGGAGTACTGCTTGATCTTGCTTACTCCGATCATTCTTGCTCCCGCCGAACTTTCAGTGATGGTCGCGGGTTCTCCTCCTGTTTCGATTCTGCGGAGACGAGATCGAATCACAGATGAATTTGCTCGAGACAGTGCGCGGGATTAGCGTTTGGGAATCTGTTTGGTAACCGAGAAAAGGGAGTCTGAGAAATGAAATTGCAGAACAATCAGAAAAAAAGGCGACCGAAAAAAAAAAAGAAGAAGGGAAAATCAATATGCACCGACCCGGATTGGATCCATTTTAAACATATATGGGCTGACCCGATTACCCGAACTGTTGCGAAGCGATTTTGGAGTTAACTTGGGCATTGTTAACAGGCCAGATTCGCCATGAACCAGCCCAACTCAAGAGTTAAAATAAAGAAGAAGTTGGGCTTTCCTTCATGCGGAAAACCGATATCAATTCGTAGATTTTTTTATTGGATTTGAAAAATTAAACATCGTAACGTGCTATTTTTTTTATGTATGTTTCGGTAAACTCTAATCATAGTGTATTTCATAATCATGTGAATGCTTCTTAAATGTGCGTCCTCTATATGGTTGTGATCAAACAATGCTACTTTAGTTGGATTGAATAAAGTGTTCTGCAAATCAATAAATTCCATGTTGATTTCTAAGAGAGCTAATTCAATTATGAACCCATTTTTTTGGAGGGAGTTCAAGAACTATTTCCAATTATATGCATGAAATGTGGAACTAACGGGTTCCTTTGATCGCCTCATTTCAAACTCGATCGGTTGAACTAAACGTTGTAATACTCGATTGTTCTGTTTGATTTCAGCAAATATTATTGAATTACGTTACACTTTTTGATGTGATGGCTACTTTGTCCAATCCTACAAAATTTGATGGCTACGAATGAAATTTGATCCGCTTTCCCTATTGGGTTTGCCGTCCAAGAAACTGAATCCGGAAGAAGAAAGGAAAGACAAAAACAAAAGCGGACCCAAAAAAAACAGAAGCCCGAAATTAAACCCGAGCCGGAGTTCCGAGTCCAATCGGGCAGAAGCTCCAGAGAGAAAGAGACGAGAGAGCTTCTACTTCTCCTCTTTGCCCACTCAGAACAAGACACGCTCTCTCTCTCCCTCTCTCTCTTTCTCGGTCGGAGCTCAAAAACCCTTCCGCCATTTTGCCCATCCCTTCCCTTACCCCCTTCTCTCGAGCTCCTTCTTCCATGGACGAAGACGACGAATTCGGAGATCTCTACACCGATGTCCTCCAGCCTTTCTCCAAGTCCGCTCTCCCGCCGCCACAGCCGCTGCTTCAGCTCCAGCCGAAACGGCCTTCTCCTCCGCCGCCGCCGCCCGCGTCGTCATCCGTCGATCTCAATCCCGACGATGATGACGAGATTCTGTACGGCGCATCGGGGCGTGCTGATCAAACCCTAGTGAATTCCTCCCCCAATTCGAGGCCCGATGGGAAGCTCTCGGTCGTGGTCGGCGGCGGTTCCGATTCAAGATTGGGGAATAATAAGGGTTCTGAGGCGAGGGAGGTTTCAGCCGATTTTCAATCCGGGGAGCCGGATAATGATGTCGATTTTGATATCGAGGAAGGTGGGGATGCTGGGGGTCTGCTCATTCCCGGACTTGGGGTTGATACGGTGGAGGACTCGAAGCAGAATGGAGCGGCGGCGGGTGATGATGGCATGGGTGGCAGCGGCCGAGGTTTTAAGGAGGGGGGAGGTGACGAGTGGGAAGAAGAAGACAGTGATAGTGAAGACGATTTGCAGATAGTGTTGAACGATAACGGGCCGATGGGAATGGAGAGAGGCATGATGGGCGATGGAGAAGAAGACGATGACGACGGCGACCCTTTGGTGATTGTGGCAGATGGAGCCCCGAACCAGGGAATGGAGGAGCCGGATTGGGGCGTCGGAGATGAAGCGGCGGCTGCTGCTGGGGGAGAAGGAGGGGACAGGAAGGAAGGAGGAGAGGCAGCTGGGAAAGGAAATGCAATGGTGACTGGGGCGAAGATTGGATATAACAATCTCGGATATCATCACACATTTCATTCCCCGTTTAAGGTCAGTTTTGATCGTTGTTGTGTTTATGTATGTAGACAAAGGAAAAGGGATTATGAAAGTGTTGTTCTTTCTCATGGTTTGATGAAAGTGTAGAAATGTAAAATGGTGTACATACTGTCATGAACCTGTCTATAGCTCATCATTTCTCTAAATGTACTTTTTTACACTGGAAGATATGAATGAGAATTGTGAATCTTTACTTATTAATGCTCATACAGATCTTACAATGTGTAACATGGTTTGGATGTTTGGGTTGAGTCATTGATATTCAGAAGTTCTCTATTCGCTGTCAGAAACCTCCCGGGACATCTCCAAGCCACCTACGCTGAAAGCAATATACAATCCAGCCAATCTAACACTGTCCTTCCTTGCTTCCTGAAAACCTTTGCCTTTTGACAGTCTTAGGTGTACTTATGCCAAAGAGTTAGCTTCTCTGTTAGTGCGATCATTAATGTCGACACCATGAAGTATCCTTATTGGAAGTTCTTGGGGCATCCACAAATTGTACCTCTGCGGAAGGGCTGACAATCTCCTTGTCCTTATTTCGGTGAACATTGAGCAGTGGAAACTGGGCCACTCGGTGGATTTTGACTATGCTGCCAAAAATCAGGAGATCTAATAGATTCTGTTTAGTTAAGAAATGATGTCCTCAATCAAGCTCGTAGCTTATATGATTGCAAAGGACTCCAATGATTGTGGCAGTTCTGAAGAATTTGAAGTTTTGCATCAAGTGGAGCTGCAATAGAAAATTTGAGACTTGTACAAGAGAAAAGAGAATGTTGATATACTATTTTTACTTAGACTTTAGATAGGGCGAGGGATTTAGCTAAGACCTGTGCTTAGTAGCCTGCTCTGTATTTTAAAGCTTCCCTAAAGTTATTGGCGGCAATTTGTCAACCTCTTTTCTTTTTGAGATTGTCAATTGATTTTGCCACTCTTTTCTTGACTATGTGTGCTATATTGCTTGATTATGTGCAGTATGTGAGACCAGGTGCAGCACCAACGCCAGGTGCTATAACTGGTCCTTCTGGAGCACCTGGTCAGCTTCGCCCTCCGATCAACTTAGTTTCTATGCCAGGTCGGGGCAGAGGTGATTGGCGACCAATGGGTAATAAAAGTGGCCCTCCAATGCAAAAGGGCTTTCCGGGTTATGGTGGATGGGGCAACAACATGGGTGGGCGTGGTTTTGGTGGAGGACTGGACTTCACTCTTCCTTCTCACAAGTAATTCTCTCTGAATTGTATTAGATGATTGCCTTTCTTCATACTATTTTTCACTTCTGTAGATCATTGGTTTCAGGCAGAGTACTAAGCAGTAGGCACTACCGATACCACTTAAGCCTGTAAAATGCTCTGCTGCTCTTGTGCAATGAATTTGCAAAGATAGGGCAGCGAAACCCTTCTAGGATTGTTTGGTTGTGTCGCATTAGCTAGTTCCTTCTATATGTGCTAAAAAATTTCTGATGCATCAGTCAGTGAATACTTCTCATATTTTCTGTTTTCAGGACGATATTTGACGTTGACATTGACAACTTTGAGGAAAAGCCTTGGAAATATCCGGGTGTTGATATAACAGACTTCTTCAACTTTGGGTTAAATGAAGAAAGCTGGAAAGATTATTGCAGACAGCTGGTAACTATTTGGTCTTTGTCCATACCGTCTTGCAGATTTCTGAATTCTTAGAGGGTATTGTTTCTCATTTTCAGGAACAACATCGGTTAGAGACTACCATGCAAAGCAAAATCCGTGTTTATGAAAGCGGGAGGGTTGAGCAGGTAATGAATTTAAGAATGTTCTACCGCCATTTACACAGTTCATGGTATTCATAATTATTAAGAATTTTAATCCTTCCTTGCAGGAATTTGATCCTGATTTACCCCCAGAATTAGCGGCAGCAACTGGCGGCCATGATGTTTCAGCTGACAATTCAAATATTGGAAAGACAGATTTGGCCCAAAGTGACTTAGCAAAAGGATCTGCTCGTGCTCGGCCACCTATAGTATGCCTAGGCTAACTTATCTGTTCATGATGAATGTGCTATTTATATCCTTTTGTTCTTGCAAAACTATATGTTCTGGATTCTTCTGTGTATCTTCTTTATTTGTCATGTTAGTTGAAAGAACTGACTGACCTACTGTCTTCTTATCAGCCAACTGGTAGGCCAATACAAGTTGAAACCGGTTTTGGTGAGCGCCAACCCTCCATTGACACCCGGCCCCCTCGTCTTCGTGATTCTGATGCAATCATTGAGGTGAGTTTTTTCTTCTTGTTTCTGATATTCTTGACTCTGTCAAACATTCCAAACACATGTAATTTGATCATAACTGGGATTTTCTTGGCAAGCAGATTCAACTGCAGGGCTCACTAGAAGATGATTCATCCTCAGGAAATGATGCTGGAGATGGGGAGAATCCAGGAGGCAACAACAGAGGTAGTCGGGTGCCTGATGACCATGAGGTGACAGCGCCAAAAGCAGAAGACGATTTTGATGATCTCTTGCATGCTCATCCCAATATAAAAGGTGCAAGAAAGGCTCCATATGGTGATAAGGACACTGATAGAGATGGACCTCGTGCCTCTCAATCTGACACACCTAGTCGATATCGTCCCAGTTCTAGGGGCCACGCTCCTATCTATCCTGGTGGAGATGTGGGCACTTCTTATGAGGAGAGGTACGTGGAATACTCGAGACACTGCAACCTTCTAAAAAGCCACATCCACTGTTCTCTACGGGTAGATAGCTTTTCAGTAGAGATGACCAAAGTTTGGTCAATTCCAAAAATCTATGGATGTTACCATACCTTGCATACTTGATACTTTCAATGATGTTGAAATCCCAATTTATACTTCAAATCTTGCTATTCAAGGGAGAAATACCTTGTTCGATCTTACCACCAATTTGAGTTTCCGTGAAATCATTCAATTGAATGAAAAAGATCCTCATTACAATTTTACTTTCCATTTATGATTGAATGGTTATATATAACAATCATACCTTTATACGTAAACTGTGATTCCGACAAGATACCTCATGTGCAGCATTGAGATGACAAATAAAGGATGGTATCATTTTCACCTGTTTGATTTTTCTATGTCTAGGTTGGCTGCGATGTGTTATAATGCCATTATTATGTTGATGGAAGCTCTTCTTGTGCAATTTGCCACGATTTTTACCTTTTAAGTGGACCTAATTTCCTTCTAAACTTCCACTGTCACAGGCGGAAACAAAGAACGGATGATAGATCCCCTCTTTTGAATTCTACTAGAAGTGCAGACGAAGAGTCGGTTGAAAGCATGGGTGGCGACGGCAGGCATAGTAGTCAGCAGTTATCGTCTCCCATCAATGGCAGGGATGTAAGAGAGTTGAGCGTTGAGGACAAGGATGCTGATGATGGTGTGGGTGTGGGTGACTCCTTACCAGCTGCAGGAAGCCCTGGAATAGCTAACGATGAAAGTAGGCCAAATGACGTTGTTAAAGATAGAAGTAAATATCATTCCAAAAAGAAACAGAGAGTGGAGCGTGCCTCTAGTGAGATACCACTCCAAGAAGCCGATGCTCGGGAGGAGGACTCGAAAGCTGCTAGGAGCAGTGAAAACAGTAAAGCAAAGTCCAGTGGTAGTAGCAAAGACTATCATCAGAAATGGCAGGATGGTGTTGACGAGGAAGTTGCTCAAGGTGGCGGGAGATCTACATCTACACGGTCTGGCAGCATCAGGAGGCATCCTAAAGACATGGATGGAAGACAAGATAAAGAAAGAAGTCGTGCTTTGAGTAAAAGCAGGGAAGGGTCCTATACTCGTAGAGACTTGGATCCTAGCATTGTAGACCATCACTTGCAGTCCAAAGGCGAGGGCTATTATCGTAGAAAGGATCGAGATAATCTCGATGGAGCATGGCAACAACGGAGAGAGGAAGACTCGAGTCTTCATAGCAGGAAGACTAAACCCGAAGAGATGAAGAAAAGGGAACATGGAGATGAAATGGGATCATCCAGGAACAAGAAGGTTCGAGAAACGGAGAGGAGTGAGAAAGATGAACATTTGATCTCGAGGAAGCAACTGGATAATGGCAACTACAGAGCTCATTATGATACTAAGGATGGCGGCGGGACTAGGCACAGGGGAAGAGAAAATACTGTGAAGCATAGATATGAAATTTCGGAGGATTACCATAGCAAACGAAGGAAGGATGAGGAATACATAAGAGAAGAGATGCTGCATGCCCACAGAGAAAGCAGTAGTAGCCATAGAAGAAGGGAGAGAGATGATCAGCAGAGAATCCCCCGGGATTCCATTGAAGATTACCATTCATCTAGTAGGCATAATAAGGATGAGGCATGGCTCTCACGAGAGAGGAGTGATAGACCGAGGGAAAGAGAAGAGTTATTGTATAGACCAAAACAATCTACCCACGAAGAGCATTTTTCAAAAAGAGAGAGGGATGATGGGGGGCGAGGTTCTGTGACTGTGAGGAGTGGCCGGGGGAGTGATGAGAAAGCATGGATTGGCAATGCTCGAGGGAAAGACGAGTACTTTGCTAAAGATGCTGTTCGGAATAGTGAACAGTCAAAGAAGAGGGAACGGGTGGAAGATGTACGAGGAGGAAACCAAGTTAATAATAAGGACAGAAGATCATCGAGGCATGAGAAGGAGAAGTCGAGTGCTCGAACAGAACGTGCTGTTGATAATCCTGATACAAAGAGATCATCAGACAAAAAGCCTAAAGAAGGGATCAGGAAGCTCAAGGAACCGGAGGGTGGAGATCATGGGTCACTGGGATCTTCCATGAGAAACCGAGAAGACAAGACTAGTCAAGCTAATAACTCGGTATGTATTAAATGAGACGCATATGCGTGGAATGCATTAAATGGCTGTTTGCAGTATAGTCAAAATCCCAAATCGAAACTTTCAAGCTTACACTTTTACCAGTTTACTCAATCAAATATAATATGAGTTCATGCAAAAGCTACCTATCATAGAATCTTATGTTCTTACTAACGAATGAATGAACTTGGTGGAATCGTGGTATGCTCTATTCCATGTAAGATTCTATCTTGATATGATGATTGAAAGGATCCTGCATGATAGAGGTTTTGAATAAGGATAACATCATACGAACTTGATATTGGAAAAAGGGATGTATTTGGTAAACTCTATAGGATGCTATTGCTAACTGTGATTCTTTTATGAGTTTTATGTATCTCAAGTCTACTGTTCGAAGTTGCTATTATTTTACACAAGTTCTCGATTCGGAGGAAAATATATTGTTTGAGGTTTTGGCAATAGCAAGTTGTTTTAATCTCTGCAGAATGTCAAGATCAAACCATTAACTATTTTCCATGATCGGTAGAATCTATAGTGTGACTGGTTGTTGGTTTTGTTTAGGAGGTGAATGGTGGCAATGATTGCCAAAATGAGAACAATCAGAATCCAGTGCAACGGAACTCCTCAAAAGGAAATAAAGAAGATGCATCATCAGATGAGGAACAACCGGACTCTAAAAAGGGACGCTCAAAACTGGAACGATGGGCAAGTCACAAAGAGAAGGAGTTCAACACGAACAACAAGTCTGCACCATCTGCGAAATCAAAAAACGGAGATAGGAACGACAATGGCTTGCCCTCTGAGAGAGTTCAGTCCGTCGAAAAGCAGCACGCAGTCGTGGAAGATAAGGATGGCGGCTGCGAGAATACAGAGAACAAAGATGGAGACAAGAAGCAGTTAGACGACCGCCACCTGGAAACAGTCGAGAAGTTGAAGAAAAGGAGTGAGCGGTTCAAGCTCCCTCTGCCTGTTGAAAAAGATGGGTCGACAGGCAAGAAAATAGAGACCCCTGAGGCAGTGCGGCCAGTGCCTCCAGTTAATAAAATCGAGCCGGTTGCTGATGCAGAGGTCAAACCTGAGCGTCCTGCTCGGAGAAGAAGGTGGGTAGGGAACTAGATTCGGCGATAAGTCTTGGATGCCTGCTCTTCTTTGAGCGCCGTCTCTTCCCATGTTTAGCAGCTTGATTGCGTTAAAGGCTTCACCGAGCCCAGGATGCCCTCATAGAAGGAAGGCGACGATCTTGTAACATCTGTTTGCTTTAGCTTATGAAGTTATTGCTATCTATGTGCATACTGATAGATGTAACCCTAAAACACCCAGCTCCTGCTGCTGCTGCTGCTGCCATTGTTGGCACAAGAACGGAAAACCCTAGTTTTTTTATTTGTTTTCAGACAATTCATATGTGTTCTTCCCTCATCTTCGAAGTCGGCCTTCATTCTGGATGTGCAGATGGCTGGGTGTTGAAGACTATCGTCACATTTGCTTCATGCTGAGAGGCTGGAATCTCCCTGTCAATGGCTGTTCAGAAGGCGTTGGATCAAATCCAACAATGTACCAACTGTATTAGAGATTGATGTAATTCTTCAGGCGTTCAATTTTGTTTGTCTATTGAGTTATGCTAGTAAGGCAGTTAGCAGGAAACCCCACAACTTGCATCTGTATCTTAGCAACGAGTTTTCACTGTAATATATACATTAAGAAATCCGGTACTTTGCCCCCATAATCATTGGTTAGTACCAGACTACCAGTTGGTTAAAATATTTTAACCAATGTGAAAGTAGAACTGATAGGCCGACTTCGAAAATGAGGGAAGAACACACATGAATTGTTCTGTACTTCTCTTCCCCTGGATGGCCTGTTACGAGACTGATAGGGTCAGTAACGTTGAACTTCCAGCGTAACAATGGTGGATAGTAGAGATATATTGTAGTGTTTCATATCTCTATTGGTGGATGAAATGTTCAGTACGTCTCTCCTGATAGCGAATTCCCGTTGATTTTCTTATCACTGTTGCAGATTTCGGAAAAGGGTGGAACTTGGAAGTCTCTTGGCCATAAAGTTCCAATCTTTCAATTCAACAACCCTCCAAATGTCCTTGGATCACCTTGTCATAAGTTCGTTTTAGTTAGGGCTAAACCGTGTTGGAATATTAGTAAAGGAACTCCCTTGTAATCTTTGCATAATAAGGTCTTCGTTTGTACGAAGACTGTTTGACGTCTCTGACTCTCGGATTCTGAATGACTGACGTGAAAAACTCTTTTCGTTCCATTGAAAAAAAAAAACGAGAAAAAACAAAACAAGTTAGAAGAAAGGAACGGACACCCAGAGGAAGGAATAGATCTTCAGGCTATTTACTAATTGGATCTCAGTTCCCTGAGAAAGACCTCTATGATAGATCTCAAAACCAGAGGAGAAGAACTATCCAAACCCAAATTTGAAATCGAGAATTACCAACACTTTGCCAAAGGGGAATTCGGAAAATGGAGAGACGATCTTGGACTTGTACGCTCGTCACGCAGCTCTGCCTCTGCGTTGCTCTGTATCTCGCCTTCAACATCGGAGAGCCTCAGCAGCAGCAGCCATGGCGTCGCCTCCCCCGTCCTGATATCGTCTTCGTAACCGTGCGAGGCGGGGCAAGACCTGTTCGCGCGCAGACCCATCTTCTCAAGCAGGTGAATTTTCTCCCCTTTTTGGTTTCTGTTTTCCAGGTTCAATCAATGTGCGGTTGGAGCAATTCGGGGTGGTTTCTTTTTTCTTTCTGCATCATTCCTTGCCGATTTCCAATCTGGTTGACGGGTAAGTCAATGGTTTCAAGTTTTGCATCCATGTCGAGTATGGTTTTGATGGAAATTTTCATTGCAGATTGAGGATGTTGCGAGGATTTATGGCGCGAGGTTTGTGGTGAATATCAGCGAGTTAGGGGAAGAAGAAGATCCACTGTCTCGTAATGTAAATTTCCTCCTTCTTCCCCCTTTCCCGCTCATTTTGACTCTTTCGATTCAATAGTCCTATTTGGCCGGATACTCAGTGCTGGGATTGGAATTTGTCAACATGGGTTTGGAGAGGAAAGTTAGTTGAAATTGAAAAGCAGTTGAAACCCGGAAGAAGAAGAAGAAATGGGAAATTGTTTGTTAAAATTGCTGCATAGCCTTTTTGGCAATTCGTATTGCGAAAATGAGGAGGAATTCCCATGAACATGGATGGACTAATCAAAATAGCTCGTGTCCATGTACTGACAATCATCGGGTTGCTGCATTCTTCTTTGATTCGTTTTAGTTGAGTCTCGTCTTTCATTAAACCAGGCTTAGCTCTAATTCATTTATGTCTTGCAGGCAAGTCAGCTCTCGAAATCACCTAGCATTCCCTGGTATAGTGAAACGTTTGCATCTTTCTTTCTTTCTTTCTACGAGGAACTCTTATAACTTTTTCTTGGGGAGATGGTTGCATTCTTCCACTTTGGAAACTGGTGATGAGAATTCCAATTGCTTGTATAGGTACACAACCAAAGCTTCAAAGGGGCAGGAAATGGACAGTTGCTTCAAGGAACATGTAGAAATAGATAACGGACCGACTTTGAACATTGTTGGTTTGGATACTGGTTCATTACAGGTACTAACTGACTGCCAAAAGTCTTGGCTTTCTGATGTTATAGCTGCGGATGTGATGTTTATGAAGTTGTGTCTTTATTTATTTATTTATATCTTCTTAGTTCTTAACTTTGGCCTTCCTTTAAGGATCTACTGCTTACAGAATCAATAAATGGCTCAGGCTCAGTTCAGAATTGGCTGGGGAGAACCCTGGGAGCTGCTTCTGGTAACTGGTAACATTTTCTCTGTTGGATGTTCTTGATATCCATGAACTGTAGCTATGTGGGTGTGAAGGTCGCGTCTGATCCACGCCAACCTTTTCAAGTCCAGGTCCGTAGTCGTTGGATATCACCCGATCATTCATTGTGAAGATGAGAAAGTGCAGCAATTTGAATCAAACCGAGCTTCTGAAACACTGGTTCACCAGAGCTTTGTGAAGTTTGGAGTGGTAAGAAATCCAAAACCTGTCAGCTTCCAAGTTTTCTCCAGGAATTCCATGATGACATTTGATCATCTGCTCATTCTCATTTCGCCAGAATGCCTACTTGAGCACCAATGGCTGCTGCTCCAACCATACCTCTCTAGACAGCGTGGATTACATTGGAGTCGCAAGGACTCACGAGCACAGAGATGAATCTGTTGTCCCAAATAGGAAATTAGGTCGTGGTCTTGATTTGCAGCAGCAAAAGTATGCATCTTTCCCTCAACCTCCTGGTTTTTTTCTTCTTTTCATTAACATTCTGGTTTCTTATTGTCTTCTGTTGCTGCCTTTCTGCAGAGGAATGACTGATGAGTTCCTTCTCCACAGAGTTACATCTCTAGAAATGGTATGCAGCTCTCTAGGTCTCTCGTCTCCGAAACAGAAGTCTCGTCCCTAATCCGGTTTCTTTGTTTCTTCCAATGGCAGATTACGTATTCCATTAGCTCAGCTGGGAAGGTCCTGAACAGAGTTGTGACCCAACAGAAGGGCAAGGCTGCCATTTGACGCCTTACCTTCTAAGCAAAGAGGTCACGTTACTATTCATTCAAAGGTGATTGATGTACAAGCAAGACACTTCACACCGCAAACACTCCGTCAACATGCAACACTCAGGCCAACGTTTACATACCTACTCGATTCAACTCGAGACCAAATAGGTCGAGGTTTCCGATTTGACGCTTATTTTTGCTCATTAGGCGGTCTCGTGATGTTGTATCAAGGATATTCGACACATGCTAACTCAGCCGAATTGATGCCACATTAGGCGACATCGCTATTCGTTGCAAACATGATTTAGCTAGCATTTCATTTCAAAAAAGTTATAGTATACTGACCACTTGTAACAAACCTAGTAGTTCAGTGGCCTTTTTACACATTTCACCCACACCCAGCACTCGAAAGGGCAAAATAGGAAGATCGCAACCGCTATAAATACACAGAGCCGAGCCTCGGACCGAGCTCCGGGTGCTCGCATGGAAGAGAGAAAAGAAGAATGATGGTTTCGGCCTCGAGAGAGATTCTCTCTCCCCCCGCCGGAGCCGATGATTTCTCCGGTTGCCGATTGCTCTGTGTTTGCTTCTCTTTGGTCACTGAAACTGGTTTACCGCGTTTGGTTTCTCTTTTTCTTTCTTTTCTTTTTGGTTCTGCTGCCTTCCGCTTCTGCTCTGCTTCTCGATCTCGTTACCTTCCATGTATGTATATATATGTAATCCATGGCGTCTCTCTCTCTTTATCTCTCTCGATCTCTCTCTCTCAACACGAGGCAATGACGATGAAACGAATCGCTTTTCTCTCTTCCGCGAGCTTCCGGTTCGGGATTGGCGGAGCTGCCTGTTTCGCGGCTGGGCGACGCCGGATGGCCGGGGTTTTCCGCCGGCAACCGGTCGGCTCAGCCATGGACGGCGGAGCTTCCCGTTTCCGATCGCAATTCCATATCTGAGCCTCCGTCTCCGAAAAGAACCCACGGTAATCGACCTCCTCGATTTGGCCGCGTTTCGGCAAACTACCGAAAGTGCCCACGGTTTGCCCAACAGAGATGCCTGATCTCCCGAGGGTAGAACTGGAATATCCACCGTGGCAGTGTAGAAATTGCCTGCTCGCTGTAGATCTGGGAGAGCGATTCTCTCTCTCAATCGGAATGAGGCTCTACTCTCGGAGAAGCGGACACGGTTGCCTCCGTCTCTCCGAAAGACTGCGGAGCCGATGATTTCTCCCGCCGGTGATCGCCCGGTCGGTAAAATCAACAGTCCCTAACAACGGTGAGCGAGCGGATCTGGTCCGCTCTTTCCTCGTCGTCGTCATCATCATCCTCATCGCCAGCGTCGTTTCGTTCCAAACGGAACTGCTCCCTTCCTTTCCCTCTCTCGATTCTCCCAACTTCTGTTGTTACTTACTACTACTAGTACTGCACTTCCAGCTTCCTCTTCTTCTCTTCTCGTAACATTGGCTGTGATGAGATTTCTCCTGCCATTGTTTCAGATGGTGAGGACGTTCTCACTTCTCAGCGGCTGTTTGGCGTGGCGATCTAGTTGCTTAAGCTGCCCTGTTTCGCAGCCATGGCCGCCGAGGTAGTCCTCGCCTTCTATGGGCTACAATGGCGGATCTGAGCCTCTTCTGGCGATTCTCAGTTGCACTCCATTGCATTAAAAATCTCCAATTTAAGTTTCCAAGTCCTGATTTTAAGATAATTTGGGCCATTTATTATACAATTTGTTTGCATGCTTGCTAGTAGAGGCATAGAGGGGAATGCAGCTATGCGATTGTGAATGCTGTAGCTTCTAGCAACATTTTCATGGTCAGGAACTCATGCGATGGCTCATATTTGGGCAGGGTCTTTGGATCACAAGTTAATGTCTCCGTACCAAAATAGTCTGAAATCTGCGAGCTTTAGGCTACCCTGGCCCCCGGTTGTGTGTTCGACAGCTTCGATGTCGCGATGAAGCACTTGATTCACGGGACAGTAATGTAGGCCGGTCAAGAGCTACCTCAGGTAGCAGTAGTTCAGCTGTCGATGGCTGTTTGGCACTGTTTTGCAGCCATGGCCGTGGCAGATCTTCCTTTTCCTTATCTTGGCTACAATGGTGGATCTGAGCCTCTACTAATTTGTCACTGCTCACTAGCTAACAGTCTTCAATTTAAGTTGACAGTACAGGTTGTGATTTGTGAATGCTGCAGCTTCTGATGGTTGGGACCCAACATGTCTTAATGGGCTGAGAAAGAACGTGGGCTGGTTTGGTGTTGCAATAAACTAAGCTCCTGGCCCAATATGAGCCCGATAAGGAGCTGCACCTGCAACAGCGGCCAGCTGGGGGATTATATAAACACCGAGAGCTGCTCGAGCATCAATCATTCATTAGTTTAAGTATGAGGCTTTGCTCTCAGGGAGAGAGACAGAATCGCCGTCGGAACTTATTCCGGCGACCTGTCGGGAATCTCTCTCTCTCTGGTGGCGAGCGAAGGCAGTGATTACTCGCCGCCGGTGCGCGGTTTCTGCCGTCACGTAGTCCGTTTCTTCCAAGGTTGTCAACCCGGTTTAGTTCCCGAATTGGTCACTGAAATTACGTATATGTACATACACACACACACAGACTGACAGACATATATATATGTTCTTTCTTTCTTTCTTTTCGCTTCATCGACCTTTGACTCTTCCTCTCTCTCATTCTCGCCTGAGGCTGTGAGGAACGATTCTATCAGACTTGCTCGGAGACGGAGATAAGCAAAAGCTGGATTCAGTTACCTGGCATGGCCGCTTCTTGGAGGGAGCGTCGGAGTGGGAACTCCTTTTTAGGGTTTCCCCGCCGCCGCCGCCTCCTCCTTTTTGTCTGCAGCCATGGCAGCTGGTGATTGTTGCTTCTCTGTTTCGGGTTGGTTCTCAATGTCTGATTAAAGGCGAATCTGAGCCTCTTAGCTCGTAATTTCTCTTTCTGGCGATGATTTTATAATGAGCTGTGTTGAAGAATTTTTATAAATGTTGTTGAGTTGCATGTGATCGATTTTCGGCCTAGAACCGAATCTAGGGTTCTTAGAATGTGAGAAATGAATGGCGGAGATGGTGGATTAGTGTGTAAAAAGATCTAGATTGTAGAATGAAATGTGATAAATTGCAATCTAAACAGATGTAAAGTTGGAATGATGATTGCTAATGCTAGACGTCACTCGTCAGTTAGAAGTTCTGGCTGGGAGTTAGGATGATGAAGAAGCCATTGAGTAAGCTTAGCAACGCCATAGCTGCGAATGAAAGACTGGAATGGGCACAAGAAGATGAATCTGGAGGAGGAGCTTCTTCAACTTGAACTATGCTCACTGCAGGTAATGGTGGGTCAGCAATGTCTTTACTCTTTAACAGCTACAGCTGATTTCAGAGGACACGGGATTTCGAGTTCCTGGTTAGATTGAGCTTTTGACCCGGGGAGATTGGTAAGATGGTGTACTTGAGATCTGGGTCGTTAAGATTCGAACATGGGTTTTCTACAACAGGGGCAAAAAGGAGGAGGATTTCGGATTTGTATGGTATTTTGGAGGGATGAAAGAAGGCTGCATGAATGAATGCTTACTCAATATTTGTTTGCAGTTCATGGATATTCTGTAATGGTACCATTGATTGACATCATCATCGTGTAAGTGGCGATCCCGAACATGGCATCCTTGTTGAAATCAAATGCAAGTGAGAGATATTCATTGTTCAGAGTTGTGACGAACACAGACAAGTTTGCAGCTCGCAGTACCTTAACAAAATCGGTTTCCTTCCTAGTGAAGCCATGGCTTGTTGGATTATAGAGAATGAGAATCTAGTCGAGGTGACTGCAACTGCATGCTTTTTTATTTCATCTGCCGTAGCCTTTGGTATGTCGCTTACTTTTTCCTTGACAGCCAGCATCCTTTTTGTACCCGAGACTGCTGAATCTGGCCAACACTGATGTATCGTCCAAATGTATTAAGACTAGTTCAGTAGTCTGTTTGTCAAATGAGGCTTCATCTAGGGCTGTGCTCACCGTGGTAACAATGTCAAGGCCTTTTTTCGATGCAATGTATGCAGCATTCTGCAAGTTGTTTTTGGGTATTATTAGCAGATGGCTTAGATGAAGGAGAATTACTTACATTTATCTTGATCATGATTCATAATGCCTGGAGCAGATTTTGCCTTCGGCAAATTGCAGAAATTGATCGAAGGTCATAAATGTTCCCTTGTTATTCACTGCTGGATTTCTCTCGAGACCATTGTTTTTTCTCGTGAGAAGGAAAAGGATGAAGGACGATTTCAGCATCACGGAATTGTGGCGGAACCATTGAAGAAAATTTGTTCGTACTTTCTTCAATGGTATGAACAAGCTTTGAGGACGATTTAAGCATCAAGGACTCCTACAAGCTTTGAATGTCATGAATGGTGCTGGCCCGATCAGGGAAGACGGTGGCTGCAGTAGTATCTACACTGAGGTCGGGAGTCACCGTACATATAAAAAGCTGTCTTTGATATGAAGATACAGAGAAGGCTTAACCATCTGTTTTATAGGTTCATCGAACTGAGGTACTTTACTGCTGTGATAGCTGGGCTTCAGTGCAATGGTCTGTGAGGAGAAATTATCTTTACCAATGGCGTTCATCGCTGTTGGTGGGAAATCGGCAATGAAGCCATTATGGATGAATTGCAGGTGTTCTTCTGTTGGATCATAACTGTAGTTAAAGCTGTGTACATTGTCATTTGCAAAATCCAGAGACATTTTCTTCAGTTTCGTGGCCTTTTCGAGCAGAACTGCGTTGTTCAACTCTCCCACGTGTTTAGAGACAGTAATTTTTTCAGCCGACTGTTTGGCTCATCGGGGTTTTTCAGTCCCGTGTGGTTTTCATTTTATTCCTGGTAGTGATCCCAGATGTCTGTTATTGGTATTTGTACGACCTCTCCCCGTTGAATAAATGTTGCTAGTTAGTAATACTTAGCAATCTTTTCATCTTGAATATATTAACTATTTATTTCTTTTCCGATAGCCTGGAATGGACAAAAGAAACATCTTGTTCGTTTCCTTGTCGTACAACAACAATCTTATCATTCATTCAAAACCAGCGGTATTTCGAATTGCAGGAATAGCATTATATTTAGTATATTAAAAAAATAAGTAAGAAAATTTAGTCAGCAAAGGTTAATTAGGGATTTAATTCGTTCATTAGATACCGATATTTCGTTATTGGAGCAAAAAGAAAGATTAGGGCCAAACACTTGTCAACGACAATTCTCGCCAAAGTGATCTTCGGTTATTATAATTTCCTTTAATTTTGCTCTGTTCCATTTGGAGGCTAAACTCACATTCCCCTCCCGAAAGAGGGGGAAAAGAAAAAAAAAACTCATGAAATTCTTCTGAAGGGGTATTTACATTTTCTGATTTCTTTGCTCAAGGGTAAAGGTAAGTTCCTTCTTTTCTAAGCTATGATTTTTTTGTGTTCTTCGTAATCCTTATTTTCGTATGTATTTCGATCATGTCTCTTCTTCGAATCGAAACGGATTTTGAAGCACTCGATAATTTGAACCGAAAAATTATGTTGCAACATGCAACATCTCGCGTCCTCATCATGGAACGGACGAAAAACAGAATAATGGGTTCTTTCGGTTCAGGGTTTATAGTTGGAAACTTCCTTCACGGAGGAAGATAATAGGCAAGCTTTGCGTTTAGAAAAGATTAAAAAAAAACATGTATGACTATTATCTGGCTGGTAGAGGTCATATTTTTCTTTTGAGACTTGTTTTTTTCCTCCTTAATCGTATATCTGAAACAAGATATTATATATTTTGCAGTTGTTTTTTTTCATTTTCGATGGTTATAAATGAAGAATAATGTTGGATTTGCATCTAGTTATTGAAAAGAGATCGTGTGGGCGAATTTTTTTTTATTTTATCTATTGCTTATTTGTTTTTATGCATGAAAAAAATAAAAGAAATCAAAGAAGGTGTAAACTAGGAGAAGAAAATGATGAGGGGGCTGCTTTTTGTTCTACTGCTGATCCATGCAAGTTCAGCTGCCAAGGATGAGAATGTGGCCCCATGGCTAACCCTAAACGGTGAGAAACCACGTTTTATCTTTTGATCTATTTCTCTCTCATCGAAATTTCAGTCTTTTGATAACAACGACGACGAGGAATTGAACGTTCTCCTCGTCCATGAATGTTCAGGAAAGGCGCCGACGGTGGTCGGCCGAGAAGGTTTCTCAGGGCAGTTTCCCGAAGACACGGACCTGGCGCTCGCGCCAATTTCATACGACGGTATGCTTATGCTTTGCAGCGTACAGCTAACGATGGACGGCGAAGCAATTTGCCAGCCAAATGTGGATATCAGCAAATCCACCAACGTACAAGAAATCCACCCAAACAAAACCAAAACTTACAACGTCAACGGCAAGAACGTCACCGGTTACTTCACCATTGACTACACCATTGTTGAGCTCGTAGAGAAGATAACCGGTGATTTGCTCGAGAATCATTTACGATTTTACTTAGAATTTTTTCCGTCGAATCTGGCATGAGTTTGTCTAGCATACACCCATTGTGTGATCATCTCGTTGTGTTAGACAAATGTCTGACTCTTGGCCTCCTCGATCTCTTTCTTGTCCTGCAGGGGTTCAGAGCACCTGGACTCGGTCGGATGGATTCGACGGCTATAGTATCGCGCCGTTTAAGCGCGGCAACGAGGGCGAGTTCATGGTGTCGAATCTGTGGATCAATGTTCCGGTACTGTCTGACAAATGAGTACATGATGATGCAAATTGCAGATTTGTTCTAGTTTTGTGCTCCTATTTATTTCACCCCGGGTTTTGGGTCTTTCAGTATGCTCAATTCTACTCGGAAAACAAGATGAACATGGAGGATTACATTCGCCAAGTCCCTCTGACCGAAAACCACTGCCTCTCCTCGCCGGAGATCGGTTTCCTGAAAGCAATCAGCGGCAGAAAGGTCAAGAACCTGAAGCTCTACTTCGCCTTTCACGACAAGGACGAAGTGGAACCCACGACCCAGAAGACGTACGGCTCGATAGCGTCGGACCTGGCCGCGCTGAAGCCCATGGTGGCCGGGATCGTCGTCCCAAAGGAGTACATATGGCCTGTTGATGACTCCAACTACTTGGTCGCAAAGCCGACGACTCTCGTCACCGACGCTCATAAGCTCGGCCTGGAAGTTTACGTTTCTGGGTTTGCAAACGACAATGTGCTCCCCTACAACTACAGCTACGAACCAACCGCAGAGTACCTTAACTTCATCAGCAACGGAAAGTTCTCCGTCGATGGATTGATCACCGATTTCCCACCCACCGCGACGGATGCCATAAGTAAGATTTATCTCTGTATTATGTCATTTGATCCATCTTTCTCCGTTTGCTGACACATTTCCTTTCATGGCGCAGTGTGTTTTGCGCCGTTCAACGATAACCGGACGAAAGGAGGTTAGAGATATTCTTCCCTGTAATCTTTAAACCAATCTCGCTATGCATAAATGCCTGCAACTGCAAGATCAACTAACCAACCATATATACACACACCTCTTTACCATGGCAGGACAACCTCTGATCATAACACGCGGGGGAGCCAGCGGAATCTACGCGGATAGCACCGACCTCGCGTACCAACAAGCCGTGGACGATGAGGCTGATGTGATCGACTGCAGCGTTCAAATGTCGCAAGATGGAGTTGCTTTCTGTATGCTTACTCCAGACCTCTCTACGAGTACCAACGCAGCAGCCATCTTCATGGATCGTAGTAGTGATGTCAAAGAAATCCAGATTGATTCAGGAATCTTCTCTTTCGACTTGACGTGGGAAGAGATTCAGACGTTACAACGTAAGACCAGCAACATTGTTTCTACTGGGTTTCCCCAGCTTCTTGATCAACCCTTCTGATCTTGTTTAGCTTAACCATGGATGTTTCGTTTTTGCAGCTCAATTGACCAGCCCTTTCGAGAAATTCATCGGCCTGTACAGAAACCCTGCGTTCAAGAACAAGGGGAAGTTTGTAACCCTTGCTCAGTTCCTGGAGTTTGCCAGATCGAAAGCGGTTACCGGCATTATGATCAACTTAGATGTAAGTGATACACATTATGTTAAAAGAAAATTTTCTTATTTGGGAACATTAACATCGTAGGATTTTACGATTCTGCAATTCTATGTAGAATATAACAGATTGACTAACTTCATACTTAACACACAATTTGTCTCTCACAGAACGTGCCATACCTTGCATCAAAAGGTCTCGACATCATCACCACTGTCACCACAGCCTTAGCCAAGAACCAGTACGACAAGAAGGCGAGTCCACAGGTCCTGGTGCAATCCGACGACACGTCCGTGCTAGACAAATTCAAGAACGTCCCGTCCTACAAGAGGATACTCAACATCAAGGAAGATATCAGCAGCGTACCCAAGGCTGCTGCAGAGGAGATCAAGAAGCACGCCGACGGAGTCACCTTGACGAGGTACTCGATCATTGCCACCGACATGCTAGGCTTCACAACGGGGAAAAGAAAGACCGTGGAGACCCTCCAAGGCCTGAACCTGACGGTCTACGTCTCCAGCCTGGCCAACGAGTACGTCTCGCTGGCATTCGATTACTACGCAGACCCGGTGATAGAGATTGCCACATACACACACACGATCGGTGTCAACGGGTTCATCACCGAGTTCCCCAAGACCGCCAGCAGATACCAGAGTAAGCATTTCTTTCACTCACCATATCAAGTGTCCTGCGAAATGTGATAAACAAACATCGTATGTGAACATGGTTATGGTTCTTACCCGATCATTATGATCCAGGAAGCGCTTGCTCCGACGTCAACGATTTGAAGCGCAACTACACCATCCTCCCAATCGAGCCAGGAGCTCTGGTGAACTTTACTAGTCGTCCACCACCAAAAGCAGCAGATCCTCCAACACCAGCTCTCACCTTACAAGAAGTCGTCGACCCACCATTGCCCAAAGTAGCCAAACCACAATCCCCTCCGAAGCCAACTCAAGAAGCACCTGCTCCATCTTCTTCTGCACCTGCCGGACTCCACTCAACAGCTGCAGCTGTCGCCGCCGCCGTCGCAGTGGCGCTGCTCAGCTTACTACTCACTGCGGGATACAATTAGGGGGCCCTTAAACCAACCAAAATATCATGTTTTCCCCCCTTACAACCCCTCCTCCCCTGTAACGAGAATTTGCAGCAATAATCAAACATTTCTAAATCATAATTTGGAAAGAACTCATTTCAGTACGAACATGAGGGTTTCTCCAATTGCTTTCCCTTGCATTTGGGTTTTTCACAATTGTGCAAAATTGAAGGGAAAAAAGGCATAGGCGGAGGCTCGGATTCGCCTTCAATCAGACAGAAACAAAGTGAGTGGGACGGAGAAGCGGGGAAATCAAACCAGCTGCCGTGGCTGCAACAGAAAGGAGGAGCGAGCAGTGAAAATCCCCTAGGGATTTGATTTCACAGACGCTTCACGATCGGAAAATGTTGCCGAGGCAGGTAACTGATTCATCCGGCGCTTCTCCTCTCGGAAATAAGTCTGCCTCGGTGAAACCACCGCGAAATTTCGTCACAGCCTCCATTGAAGAGAGAGAGAGAGAGAGAGAGAGAGAGAGAGAGAGAGAGAGAGAGAGGCGGAGAGAGACCGAAGGGATGAGCAAGTTCGGGATCTTCAAGTAATCATAACTGAAAACAAGTGAGAGGGAGAGGGAATGATATATCTTTCTGTGTGTTTGTGCTGCGACGGGGAGCAGGGACGGCGCGGCGGATTCTATAACCGGCGGCGAGTAGTCACCGGCTTTGAGAAACTTTCTACTAGACAGAGAAAGCGATAGGAGCAGAATTGGGGAAGATGCTCGTTGTGAGCTATTTCCATTTCACAGCAGCAAATATATAGGGGATTACTTACAGTTTCACTAGCCGTTAAAAGAGAAAAACTAACTAACCAATAGAAGCTGTACAAGTGTCCTATAAAACAGTAAATACTAAGACTACGTTTCATCACCACAAAACGGTGAGTTTTGTATCCGTTGCTTCTCTGATGCCTGAACGACGCCGTCTCGGTCTTCTTCTTCATTTGGGCGCTTTTGCTTCAAGTTCAAAGCTGAATCTGTTCTTCGTTCATCTCCAGGCAATGCAACTAGTGGAGGAGTTGATTCCTGCTCATCTTCACTCCTTTTCACCCTCCCACAAGCTGGCGAGTATAGATTATATACTCCCAGCTTGGACAATAACATGGAGAATCGTTCAATCGACAAACTCTTCGTGAAGATGTCAGCCAATTGAAACTCTGTAGGAACATAATGGAGGGAAATCAAACCTGATAGCACTCGTTCTCTGATGACATGGCAATCCACCTCTATATGTTTCGTCCTCTCATGGAAGACAGGATTTTCCGCAATGTGGATTGCCGATTGGTTGTCACAGTAGACACGAGCAGGTTGTGAATGTGTAATTCCAAACTCTGAAAGTAGTCTGATCAGCCACTATACCTCACAACTGAGACTTGCCAATGCTCTGTACTCCGCTTCAGAAGATGAGCGTGACACAGTACTTTGCTTTTTGCTTTTCCAACTGATTAAGCATGATCCCAGGAATGTACAGTAGCCTGTGATAGATTTTCTTGAGTCAGGACAGGTTGCCCAATCTGAATCACTGTATCCCCTTAGCTGCAAACTGGAATCACATGAATACAGTAATCCTTGACCTGTTGCCAATTTCAAATAACGTAGAACTCTCTCTAATGCCCGAAGATGTAATGTGGTTGGCTTATCTTGAAATTGGAAAAGTTGCTGCACTGCAAATGTGATATCAGGTCTGGTTGTGGTCAAGTATTGAAGCTGTCCAACCAGATGCCTGTAACCACTGATGTCATCTAGTGGCTTCCCTCCTTCTGATGAGAGAACCTCTTTAACAAACATTGGTGTTGGTGCAGGTTTACATGAATCAAATCCTGCTTCCTTAAGTACATCAAGACAGTACTTTCTTTGTGAAATTGTGATTCCTTGTTTCCCTCGTGTCACTTCAAGACCAAGGAAATAGCTCAATTCACAAAGATCCTTCATTTTGAACTCTCCATGAAGTATGCTTTTTACTGCATTAATCGACTCCAAACTGACACTCCCCAATACAATGTCATCCACATAGACAATTAGGACCACCAGCTCATTCAAAACAAGTGCAGTAAAGATAGAGTAATCACTTACTGATTGTTTAAATCCATGTTTGAGCAAGGCTTCTGTTAACTTTGCATACCACTGCCTACTTGCTTGCTTCAAACCATAGATAGATTTCTTCAGTCTACAAACTTTCCCTTTGAACTCAGGATCTTCATCCATGCCTGGTGGCAACATCATATACACTTCTTCAGTGAGGTCTCCATTCAAGAAGGCATTGCTTACATCCATCTGATGTAGATGCCAACCCTTAACTGCAGCAACTGAGATTAGAGCCTTCACTGATGCCATTTTTGCCACATGAGAGAAAGTATCACAATAGTCTATCCCATATACTTGGGTGTACCCTTTTGCCACAAGCCTAGCTTTGAACCTTTCTACTTCTCCATCTGACTTCAGTTTAATTCTGTAAACCCATTTACATCCAATAGGTCTTTTGTTGGGTGGCAGTTCTACAATATCCCAGGTTTCATTTTCAATCAATGCTCTGATCTCTTCAGTCATGGCATTGTTCCATCTAGGATCCTGGGATGCTTGCAGATAGGTACTTGGCTCTCCCTCAGTACTCAGAATGTTAACAAAACATTGATGGTTTGACTTGAGGTGAGTATAAGAGAGAGCTTGATGGATGGGATATTCTACTTCATAATCATCATGCCAAGCTGGTGGTTTAATGTTTCTGAGGGATTTTCTGAGAGGAATTGGTGGATCCTCATGAGGAGAAGGAGAAGAAGATGGAGAAAAGGATAGTGGAGAAGGAATGGAACCTGACTGAGAACTGTTCTCATCAGGGGAACCAGCAGGATGTGTGATAGAAGAAGTAGGAGTAGTGAATGTCCCCTCCTCAGACTGCTGGTGATTTGAATGAGAAGAAGGAGAAGTTGGTGAAGAAGGGAAAAGAGAGGGATGATCTGCATCATGAGGAGGCATATCAGGTGGAGAAATGGAGTGTGTGGGGTTGGAAGAAGGAGTAGGTGAAGTAGAAGACTTGTAGGGTAGAATGTGTTCATAGAACACAACATCTCTAGAGATGTACACACGTCTGGTGTCAAGTCCAGTAGCTTGTAACTTTTAATTCCACTGGGAATACCCAAAAAAATGCATTTCTTGGCTCTGGGAGCAAATTTGGTTCGAGCTGGACCAGCTGTTGCAGCATAGGCAAGACAGCCAAAAACTCTAAGGCTGTTATAATCAGGTGGTACCTGATATAGAATCTCAAAAGGGGTTTTGTTTTCTAGAACTGGGGTGGGGGTTCTATTGATGAGATAAGCAGCATGAAGTATGAAATCACTCCAATATAGAAGAGGTAAGCCAGATTGAAACTTCAAAGCTCTGGCAACATTCAGAAGGTGCTGATGTTTCCTCTCAACCCTCCCATTCTGCTGAGCAGTGTACACCACACTCATCTGGTGTATAATTCCATGTGTTTGATAAAAATCATTCATATGAAATTCCATTCCTTGATCATTTCTTATGACCTGAATTGATTTTTGAAACTGGTTCTTTACCATGACACAAAAAGACTGCAGAATGGTTCTAGCTTCATCTTTGGATTTCATAAGATAAGTCCACACACATCTACTGTGATCATCAAGGATAGTTAAGAAATAAATGAAACCATTGTAGGAAACTGTTTGCAATGGGCCCCAAATATCAACATGAATCAAACCAAACACAGTAGGATTCTTAGAAGAACTGACATGAAAGAGAAGGCGTTTCTGTTTTGCCAAATGGCAGACTTCACAATGAACAATCTTAAAAGGAATTACATTGGAAGACTGTCTACTAATAACTTCAATTCTAGAGACATGTGGATGTCCTAATCTGGCATGCCAGATATCAAATTCTTGAGGCTGAAGATTTTGGACTGGTGAAGCAAGACACTTGGGAGAGGAAGAAGTAGACTGTGTCTTGGCAAAGAGGTAAAGTCCCTTATCCACTTGAGCTAAACCAATCCTCCTCTGAGTAATAAGGTCATGTATCACACAGTAAGAGGATTGAAAAGTCAGTGAGACTGGGTTTGTTTTGGTTAACTTGCTAACTGACACAAGGTTGTAACTGAAAGAGGGAACAAACAGAACTTGGGATAGAAATAGGCTAGAAGGAAGCTTGAAAATTCCTATGTGTGTGGCCTTAACTTGTGATCAAGTAGGTAAACTCACAAAAACACCCTCTAAGGGCTTATACTTAAGGTAGTATCTTAGATCACAAACTATGTGATCTGTGGCACCTGTATCAAGTACCCATAGGTGTCCACCAGAAGAAGCTATCAGGGCAGAAAGAGCAGTGATACCTGATCTTGAAGGAAAGTAATTGAGTTGTGGAGAAGGCCTTGTCACTGAGTTGGCAGCATGAACAGATGGTGAAGATGGTGGTGATGGTGAAGGTGATGGAGTCTTGGAGAGGAGGAATTTCAATTTCTCCATCTGTTCCACTGTAAACAGGTTTGGTAATCCACCCCTTGTGTCATGAGGGATGGAAGCTGATTCTTCCAGATGAGTGACTTCAACTGAGCCTGCAAACCCTGATTCAGATGCTGCTTCTCGTGCCTTTTTGTTTTTCAGCTTGTAGCAATCTCTGATGAGATGACCTTCCTTCTTGCAGTAACTGCATAGCTTCTTCCCATCTTGTTGTTGTTGCTGAGTTCTTCCCTTAGCTTGATATTGTCCACCACCATGAGATCCAGTTGCAGCTAGAGCTAGAGCATCAGTTTCAGAGCTCCTATTCATGACCTTCAGTTGTCGCTCTAGTTGCAAAATTTGCTTAAAGACAATATCAATGCTAGGCAAGACAGGTAGCATCAAAACTTGAGTCCTTGCTGACTGATACACCCCATTCAAACCCTGAAGAAACTTAATGATAAAATCATTGTCCTGGTACCTTTTCAAGGTCTCATATGGTCCAGGAACGCAAGGGCAGGTTGGAATGGGTCTGTATCTCTTGTATTCTTCCCAAACCACAGTAAGAGCAGTAAAGTATTGACTCACAGACTGGTCTCCTTGAACACATTTAGTCAGTTGGGTATCAAGATCATAAACCCTAATGTTGTCTTCTTGACTAAATCTGTTTTTCAGGTTATCCCACACATCTTTAGCTACAGCTAGCCTCATAACGCTATTTGCAATATCATCAGACAAGGAGTTGTAGATCCAGCAACGAATAGTGCCATTACAGCGAGTCCAGGACTGGTAATGAGCATCGGTTACCTGAGGAACTGGGATTCTACCGTCGATGAACTGGGTCTTGTTCTTAGTCTCAAGAGCCAGCCACATAACTTCACTCCATGTATGGTAATTTCCATCTACTAGCTTCAGTGTGATGATGGTGGAAAGAGCTCCATCTTGAGGTGGTAGGTAGTAAGGATTGAGATATGAGTCTTCATACTGACCCATAATGGACTTCAGTCGTTCAGCTGAGTCGGTGCTGCTAGAGGTTTTTCCAGAATCAGTAGTTGCAACAGTGGAATCACCCATGACAGCAACAACGATAAAGGCAGAGTAAGAAAATCAAAGAAGAAAGGAGACAGAGGAAACGAAACCCTAAAGTTAGGGCAAAATTGGATCTAGCGTGCTGAGCAACGCTCTGATACCATGAGAAACTTTCTACTAGACAGAGAAAGCGATAGGAGCAGAATTGGGGAAGATGCTCGTTGTGAGCTATTTCCATTTCACAGCAGCAAATATACAGGGGATTACTTACAGTTTCACTAGCCGTTAAAAGAGAAAAACTAACTAACCAATAGAAGCTGTACAAGTGTCCTATAAAACAGTAAATACTAAGACTGCGTTTCATCACCACAAAACGGTGAGTTTT